ATATTATTTTATAGTAAATATGTTTTCTCGTGTTCTGCATTAAGCACCAACATCATAGTGAATAAATATACCATATTTCTTCATTATTTAAGTAATGCTAGGAGGCTTTGAGTAGCTTTGGGTCATTAGGTGAACAGAATCTCCAATAGATGGGGCGAGAGTCGCGCTATCTCTCGCCCGAGCGAGAGTCGAAACTTATTTTAGAATTGATATATCTTTGTCCTCCAACAAGATATATTTCCTTTGGTGCACTCACAATAACGAGCATATCTCTGTCTTTCTGAAGGCATATAATATTTTAGGCTTTATAAGCGTATCTTTGTTAATTACACACTATATTGGCAAGTGCGTAGGCTTCTGCATTCCATGACCGACAAGCTACTGAATGCCACTATAAAAACGTATGTATCTTCACTTGAGCTATATATATGTCTATGTTAAAGTATTTAAAATGAAGCTTATATTTCTATCTTTCTTGAGACATATAAAACATATGTGTTTATTAATGAATTTACGTGAAATAAGCATTGTTCTGAGAGAGAGTTGCTCTGTCGATCAGTCTGTGCGGGGTCGGAGCTCGGCGATTATTAAAACACATGTATCTTCATTAGAACTTTATATATATCTATGGTAAAGTATTTAAAATGAAGCTTATATTTCTATCTTTCTCAACACATATAAAAACATTTGCGTTTAGTAACGAATTTACGTGAAATAAGCATTGTTCTGAGAGTTACTCCGTTGCTCGATCTGTGCGGGATCGGAGCTCGCCGATTAGAAAAATACACGTATCTTCGCTTTAATTACAAATATGCACATGGTAAGGCATTTAAAATGAAGATTATGTTTCTATCTTTCTTGAGACGTATAAAAATCTTACGTTTATTAACGATTCTTCGTGAAATAAGCATTGTTCTGAGATGAATATTGCGGATTTCCGGCTCTACGACCGACGAAAAATGCAACTTTTATACAACTACAAATATCTTTAGTTTTACTTTAAATTTTGTCCTGAAAGAGTTTTCATATATAGATCCAGTTTCTGCCGTTCTTCTGACATAAAAAGACCTTTGGTTTAATAAGTTATTAAGATGTTTTCAACAATATTACTAGGGCGTTCACCGATTCTAACATGGGCGACCCTTTTGGAAACGCAACACATGGGTTGACCTGATTGATATATGGGTCAGATTCCATTAAGGTTCGGAACAGTAGTATTGGACCCGATACCCATTGTGTGGGTGGTAGTATAGTATATCCTACTCTGCGTTTTCTATAATACACGATCCATTTTCTTGAATTTGTATAGGGCATATTCTATTGTATATATTATAATTTGGCGCCGATTGAAATATTTAGATAATTCATTGAATAATTATTATAATTTACTGAGAACCACTAAGGTTTCTCAAAACTAAGCTACGAGTTTTCAATAGGATGTAATGTAATTATCAAAAGAAGGCACCAAGCCAGGAAGACTAATGTAGCATCAATAGGATGTAGCTGATCCATGATATTAAAAAAAGATGGAAAATATTACGCAAATTTCTCCTTCAGAAACATGTGTAAGGAATCATTCAGAACCTTGTATTCCTCATATGTCAGACCAATACTGGAATATGCGGCTCCAGTCTAGAGTCTACATCTAGTCAAACACAAACTGTAAGTTATTAAAAGGTTCAGAGGAATGCCACCAGGCTAGTTCACAAGCTGAGCGGTATGAGCTACGAGGAAAGATGGCTGGAACTGAACCTCACGACACGGGAAGACACAAGAGTTAGGGGAGACATGATCACTATCTATAAAATTCTTGGAGGAACTGACAGGCTTGATAAATATAAACTGTTTAGCACGGGTGGGACACAAACAAGCGGTCACAGGTGGAAACTTAGTACCCAAATGAGCCACAGGGACATCGGAGACAACTTTTCAGTATCATAGTTAAGATGGAATGTACTGTAATGTTGCAGAGGCAGACTCCATACACAGTTCCAAATGTAGATATGAAAGAGTCCAGTAGGCTCAGGAATCCTTAAACCAGTTGAGAGTCCAGTTTAACCCCCGTGACTTAAGTGGTAAGAAGTACGCCTGGCGTTTCGCGAACGCTTTGGCCTGGGTTAGTATCCTGGCCGGGGAGGATTTACTGGGCCCAAATCCTTAACTGTAGGTTCTGTTTACCCAACAGTAAAATGGGTACCTGGTTGTTAGCAGATTTGGCAGGGGTCGTATTCCGGGGAATGTTAAGGTTAAGGACTTGGCCGAAACGCTATGCATGCTAGTGGCTGTAAAAGAATGTAAGAACTTTTGTATATAAAACGTACAATTATGTTACGTTGTTGGGTAGATTAGATACACAGTGTTTAGTGAGTTTCATATTTAGTAGTCCTGGATACAGCAGTGTTGTAGACGTTGAAACGGAGCTTGGAGCAGAGCAGAGCAGAGAACCGAGTGTGGCCAAAGTCACGGAGCTCTATGTGGGAGAGCGTTGTAGCTCGATGCGGTCCTTGTCTGCTGTCTGTTCTGTGTCGAAGCTGTAGCGTCTTGGAGACGATTAGAACTGCCTACACCGAGTGCTACATTCTTGACTGGAAATTGTACTGTTGTCTATTCTCATATCGCTTCCTTATATTTGGTGACTACCCCTCACCTTTCTCTACTAGGATAGGAGGATGTGAGAACTGTTACCTGTAATTAGGGATAGGATTGTAGCTTGTGTAGTTAGTGCTAATTAGTTATGCCATTAAGATGATGAGATAATGGAGCGAGTAAGATAATGGTTTACTCGCTACATCTACAGTATATAAATAAAAAATAAAAATAATAGAGGCAGGACCAAAGAACCAAAACTCAACCCCCATAAGCACAACTAGGTGAGTACACCAGAAGTGGGAATGGAAAATTACAATTATCGTCCAAATTTGAGCAAACAGACTATTCTGCTGTCCATGGCGATGGGACAGGTACTATGGGACGTACTATGGTACGTGAGGAAGGGTTTATACCTAGTGATAGCTATTAACTGTAAATCTACCACAGGGAAACTGTGAACATTAGCAGCATAATAACTTTGAGCATGACAGAGGAGGGGATTTACTGGGCGCAAATCCTTAACTGTAGTCTCTGTTTAACTTGACAGTAAAATGGGTACTTGGTTGTAAAAACGATTCTTCACGGCGGGGATCGTATTCCAGGGACCTGCCCGAAACGCTATGCGTACTAGTGGCTGTACAAGAATGTAGCAACTCTTGTATATATCTCAAAAACTCTGTATTACACTCATGTTAGGACTTAGGTTTAGTCATTGCTGCAGAGAAAACAATGATACTAGATCAGCGTCCATCCAGGCAGGGGAGAAGCTGCTCGTAAGATGCAACTGTATGATGGCTCCCAGCTTGAGTATGTAAACAGGTATAAATACCTTGGCTTTGAGGTGCCACTGTATGGTCGTGTTGTATTCAGACTCTGGTATCAGTATAAAAATAGAGCTCAGAGCTCTCAAGGCTGTTGCAGGTTATCACTCAGGCTATGGTGCCAACATCAGAATTTTTAAAATTATGTACCTTGCATACATCAGATCTTTAGTGGATTATGCTGCACCTCTGCTTGATTTAATGCCTAAAAGTAAGTTTGGGGAGGGCTTGAAAAATTGCAGAACAAAATCTTCAGGATAATCCTTGGGTACCCTCTTACCACAAAGATACTTCACATGAGAACGGAACTTAATATTCAGTGTCGTTGATCGTGTTACTGAAATTAACTGTCAAAGTGGTCTAAAAATGCTTAGGCTAGTTCATCTTAACCCCTTGCACAGAAGCCCTCCAGAATTTCTTTCTTGAAGGTCAACATTGTTTTAAATGGATAACTAAAACTGGAGCTGAACTCAGAATGTATCAGACTTATACTGTGATTTGTACCAAGAGACACAACAGTGGCACTTTCCTGCACCGTGGGAGATTACACCCTTACCAATTTTAATCCTTCCCTTTCCACCCATGAAGCAAATTAGAGATCAGCCCAAGCTTCGTTTTGAGGCAAAGCACAACACCTTAAGCCGTATTGAGCCTTTTTTCTCTCAATGCCCTAAGCCATATTAAACAATCATTACCATATGGACATATACTTGCCCAACCAAGGTGTCTATCCTTGGGTCTTTGAGTATTAAATGAACATAAAATTTTGTTTTAGAAAACTTTGCTCAATGTTAAGTGTACTATAGTGTTTTTACCTTAATTTTTATCTAAAGTTCTCTACTCTCTCTCAAGTTGTAAGTTATAACATTAACTTTTTTTTTTAACAAGTAAAGAGGTGTTTCGTATTTTCTTTAATGTATAAAGTTACAGTATTACAGTATATGTCAATTTCACCTATTACATAAACACAGAAATCACAATTGCATGGTTTCTTACATGCCAGGAATGCCATACTGTAACTTGTTTTCAAAAATGGAAAAAAAAGACATGCATATCTGCACTTAAAAATAAAATAGCATACAGTAGTTTAAGCTCCATAACATCTGATAAAGTATTTACATTATCTATTCACAAGCATTCATTAACTAAAAGTGCCACAAAAATTTGTAGATAATTATGACAGCACAGCTATACAAATGTAAAAAATAAAAATTTAACATGACAATAATGACACGTTCCCCATGAATAAATAAACTGCATGTTTATGTTACCACAAACAGATCATTAAAGTAGTTTTGTCTTTTCCTAATAATTTAAGTAAAAACTTGCTTTAATTTGAGGGCTTGTCAGTGGCACATTAACAATGCAGTGAGAAGAGTTGTGAAAAATGCAAACGCCAGCAGCAATAAGATTTTAAATGTACCATCAGGGGAATATTTTTATGTGAAACAGATTAACAATGAGTAGGTAAGTTTAGTGTTCTAATCATATAAATGTAAAAAATATATAATGGAATCCACAAATTATATATACTGTAATGAATTAATCATGATATAAAATACTGTCTGGGCTTGAATAAAGTCCATCAGATTTTACAAATGTTATCCACAGATTTTATTGAGCAAGTTTATAGTATTGCCATATATGTAGGTGTCTACCAGATGAACTAAAAGCACACAAGAGTTTTAAGATATGTATTCAACTCATTATTCCATACCTAAGTGATCATTAATTTTTGGGACCAGAAAAGATTCATGGAGTGCAAATGCAAGATTTTGTATAACAAACATTGATGACCACACTAGAGCAGATATGAAAAATTTAAAATTAACTGAAAAGTAATTATCCAAAGATAGTACTAGGTCAGGTGATTAGCATTTCGTTACAGAATATTCAAGATCCCCCAGACATAATTAAGGATACTAATACAGTATGACAGTAAACAGATTCACCAAGGAGTTAACGAGAATTGCAAAAAAATGCTAAAGACAAAACAGGAATATTACTTAAGTGTTATGGAATAATAGAACAAGAAATTATACTGCTTTAAAATAGGAGGAAGAGTTAAGTTAAGAAATGAAAAGTGCAGTAGAATGAAACTTTTGTCAAATTGACTATTAAAAAAGTAGAACAGATATGAAACAGCAGTGTTATAGCAACTACAGGTAAGTAATTTTCAAAATTAGGCCTGGTCAGAAGCTGGGACATAGGAATGTTCATCCTCAAAATCATCAGCAGGTTAGAGAGGAAAGGCAGGACGACTATTTTGCATAGTTTGTGTCTGATATTCAATGGGTCCTAAATATTAATCAGATGCCAATATGAGAGGACAAGGATGCAAGATGTGTACAGTAATGTAAAAGACATCAAATTCCTAAGGATTCTATCCGAGGAAAAAGTGATTCAGCAGGACACTGGGAAAGCAAAACATACAGATCCTGAAAATTGGAACATTATACAAGCAGTGCATGACTAAGTGGGACAATACAGAAAGGACACTAAGATGGGTGCTGTTCCATTAAGTGCCCATGAGTTAAGCATGTTCTGCTGATATGTAGCTTTGTGCCAGTGTCATTTCTAACCACCTATTATAAGGTGGAAGAAGAAAGTCCACAGGGATAACTAACATTCAAGATTATATACATAATATGCTGGCCATCATATGAGGCCATTAATTATGACAATGGTCATGGACAGTAGTATGAATTAACTGGGTAGAAATCCGAATAAAGAATCCTGTATGGGAGATGGGGGCAGGTACGAATGGTTGGGAACCCAACAAAACCCGACTGTCTTAAATCTAGTAAAGATAAACAGTCAGTATTGGATTTTGACTACCACAATATGAGAAGGGTTAAAAGACTCCAGAGCAATGAGGGTGCTGCAAGAGTCAATTGCAATATACAGGAAATTTGATGCAAAAAAAAAGTGGCTGACACAGAGCATATAAAAACTGCATTAAGCTCTACCATAAAAATGGTAATCTCGAGGATGAAACAGCACACATTTCCCAATGTACAATTGGGAAAACAATGGAGTAGCCAACACTGTCAGTAGCATTCCTCCCATGTGTGAATAGGGCAGCAAAGCATGAATGGCAGGAAAAATGCTCCAGGAAAAGATGAATTATAACAGTAGGAGGGGTTTAAGCCTTCACCGTGTTGGTCAAGGCCTTACAAAATGTCACAAGTGACCCCTCCATGCAAAGCAGCAACAATAAAAGGGAGGAACATTGCAGACATGTACTGAGAATAAGAGAACCCTGTAAAGAGGCCATTTTTGCATTAAAAGTTAGGAAGGGACTAGGGACACAGGGCCCACAGAGGAGTACATGGCACAAGCTGGACTGGGGCTGTTGTAGAGATTGCATGAAATACCGAAGGCAGTCCCGAGTAAAATAATCCTGTAGAAACGAAAAAACTGGTTTCAACATATAGAAACATGGATAGGATGAACAAAATGCACAAGAGCTGAGATGTAACCACCATATGATATAGAGTATCAAGATGATGCAGGGCTGTCAAGAGCCTAATTTAGGCAGGAAAAGGGAGGAGTGCATACCAACAGCATCTAATAAGGTCAGATGAAAAAGGAAGAGGAACATCTGATGGACAGCAATGAGCAGTGTAGGTGGTGAAAGAGATTCCAGTCTGCCTATCATATCTAAATAGGGAAAGAGAGAGAGGGAGGGGAGGGAAGAAAAAAGGGATAAGGTGATGAGAAAATGGTCAGTTATGAAGGTTTTCAAGGACCCTCCATGTCAGGTCAATGTAAATGGAAGAGAAACAGAAATATTGATACAGGAAAGAGTGAGAGTACACAAGTTGACATGAGTAAGCACACCCAAATTCAGGGAAGAAAAGTTGGAGAGACGACAAAAGGTTCAAAAAGATGACTTTGGATATTAGTAAGAATACTAGCCCAGAGTGCATGTTGACAGTTAAAATCACCTAAGAGAGTACAGACTCCAAGAATCTAGTCGAAAAAGTACTTACGTTCAAGAAGAGATTGGAAATTGTAGGAGGGAGATAAAGGGAACAGACGGTACACCACTTATTCACAAGTATACGAGTGGCAGTGGAAGGAAACATCATTGCAAATTAAAGGAGTAGAGCTAGTAGCACAGGAAAAAGGTGGACAGGGGATGATGAAAAGGTACAAGTGTACAGGTCACTCATCCTGTGACCAGGACGAGTGCTAATGGAGACATACACAAAGCCACACAAAATGGGAAATAATAAGGGGCAGCTCATTAAAATTAGCATAAAAACCACGTATATTCTTTTGAATAATACACATTGAGAATAAAATACAAGACACCCAAAATACTTCAGTGTAATAAGAACACGATCAGACAAATCGGGGTTAGGGGGAACAGGTAAATGTAATGATGAAAAAGTGTCAAAATGAGAGAAAAGGTTTGGAGCGAACAGGCAGGGTTCGATAAGGTAGAAAGTGGCAGCTTAGTGCATTTAGGCAAGCCGAGCTAACAAAGGGAACAAAGAGCTCTGGAGCAAAAGGGGGGATGGGGCATAAGGCAGAGGAATGTGTACATTGGCAACATCCATATCAAGATTAGCAGGCAATTTGAGCATAGAGATAGGAGGAGAGCCATGAAGAAGGTTTGCAGAGTTGGCTGGATCAGGGAGAAAGAGGGAGTAGGGACCAGGCTAACATTTCTGGCCAGAAGTCAGAGGTGGAGTGAAGCTGAAGCAGTAGACACAATGTACTGTGCCATCACCACCTCCATCTTGGGTGGATAGGCAAAACAAGGAGTGGTCAGGGTAGGGGTGTACATTTGCCTGAACTGTCAGTGCCCGGGAAGGGCCAGAAGATAGCTGCCTGAAGGTAGCGCACAAGAGCCCCCTCAATATGTCAAGGCAACACCTTTGACAGGAATCAAAATGTTAGATGATATGACAGATAAAGGTGCAAGTATTTTCTGTCAAAAGTTATGAGAAAGAGGCAGTGCTCTTTACAACTGGTGGTGGTGAAGGGAAGGCAAGTTGTGAACTAAGTGTAATACAGGTATGGAAGCTATACTAAGACAGAACAAATGAGAAGAATGTAAACCAAGAAACAGACATTTGAAGCCAACTATGATACAAGTACTGTAGTTTGAAGAAGTGTAGCATATGAACCAACGTATCTGCCATTTATTACACCTCCCATTCCATTTTCAATGTGGATATGTAGAACATTGTGTGTTCAAGGCATGAGTTTCACTAATTACAGTATTAAAATACAAAATTCAAATATATACAGGGAACACACAATATAAAAATACTCTATTCATCTGTATTTCAATAAACCTGGTTTTAAACACAGTATATTCAGATAACCAGATCTAATGATACAGCAATGGTGAGCATACATGGTTCCTACTGATGAGTTTGGCACTTACTTGCATCCTCACCAGCCACCAGAATATCTGTGGAATATCATAGTAAGCATCAATTGTAATACACCAAGTTTTATTAAATTTCTCAAGATTTAACTAGTACAGTGACAAATTATATATATATATATATTTAAATATATATATATATATATATATATATATATATATCTCCTGTCTCTCTAGGAGACAAACTTCCCTCTATTCCTTCCTATTGTCTACAAATATATAACCAGTCAGCTATGTAACTGCATAGCCTTGTATAATAAAGTGCCAAATATAACTACTGTAATAAAAAAAGAGGGTAGGAGAAGCGAATACTCGTCTGTATTTAGAGTCAAACACCAAGTTTTTCTCTGAATACTCTTTATTCTCTATCTCTGAGCCTGTACCACTAAAAGAAAGAAAGCACAATTTAAACAGGGAGATTGAAGAAATAGAACAAAGAATGGAGCAATCAAATCTGATTAAAGAAATGCAATTAGAACAGAAAGATATACAAGAGATAAAGAAAAAATACAAAATATTTCTTCACATATGTGAAATTGAAATTAAAAACCTCTGTCAGTTTTCAACCTTGAGGTTATCTTGATTATCCTATACTAACAAGTGAAGGTTCATACGCAGAGGACTACAAAGAAATTAGTGAAATCCTTAAAAAACAGTATGTTTTTGTTTTCCACCCCAATAAACAGAATGAAAATGGAGGATCTGAACAGTTCCTATATGAATGATATTCAAACCCCTAGAAATATAACTGATATCAACACAAACTTTTGCAGATTTTGTAGAGAAACTGACATACACTCAGCCCCAGGTCTAAGACTCATGAAATTTGATATTTATAAAGATTGCAAAATGCCAATACCACAGGTGTAGTGTGGAGAGGCTGGGCACAGGGAAGATACCATAAGCGCTTAAATCAGCAGATATAGCTCTCTACAAAAGGGAGAGAGCAAAGCATTGGCTAAGAATTATAGACCTGTTGCACTAACATCCCACATAATAAAAGTTTTTAAGTGATCAGGAGTGTCATATCTCCAGTTTTATAGACTAATGACCTCAATAACCCATGTCAACAAGGCTTTAGAACGAGAAGATCATGCCCTTCGCGTCTACTCGACCACTTTGACAAAATCACTGATGCATTATATGAAAAACATAATGCAGATGGGAAATACACCGACTTTGCAAAGGCATTTGATAAATGTAACCATGGAGTAATAGCACGCATAATGAGGTAAGTCAGAATAACAGGTAAAGCAGGGTGATGGATATTAAGTTTTCTGACAAACTGAATACAAAGAGTAACAGTCAACTAAATAACATTTAGTCCAAGCAGTTAAAAGTTCTGTACTTTGGGCATAGTTCTTGCACCACTGCTTTTCCTTATTCTAATATCAGATATAGACAAAAATACAAGTCACAGCTTCGTGTCATCTTTAGCAGATGACAAAAATTAGCATAAAAATGACTTCTGTAGAAGACATTGAAAAACAACAAGCTGATATTAATAAAGTTTTCGATTGGGCAGCAAAAAATAATATGATGTTTAACAGTGATGAATTCCAAGTAATTAGGTATGGTAAATATTAAGACCTTAAACAAAATACAGGGTAAAAAAAAAAAACAATCAAATATGCCCATAGTAGCAACGCAACATGCAAAGGATCTAGAATAATGATGTCTGACGACCTAACGTTTAAGGAGCATAACCAAGCAAAAATAGCGTCGGATAGAAAAATGATGGGATGGATTACGAGAACCTTCAAATTCAGGACAAAGTACAATGCGAGTGGCAACCAACGGAGAAGGGGCTGCAACTACATGTGTGCCAGTCCAAGTGGGGTTTAAAAGCAGCCTGGGAATCCAAAGAATCAACTAAGTATCTATGGATATGCACATCCTCAGGGTGGGTATGGTCACCAGGATAAATATCACAATAAATAGGGCACGTAGCAGGGCCAAACAAATCCTGAAATGTAGCAGGGAAAGCAGAAAGCAAAGGTGTGTAAGTGTGGTGGTAGTGCCAAGGACCCGCATGAAGGAAGAGGATGAACGGCCCAGTTGTTTAAATGCAAAACGGAACCACAACACGGGGCTTGAAACTCGACCCATCCACAGAAATAGGAAGGAAATTGAGTCTGTAGGGATATTCAGAAACTAAGTTGGGTCTGGGCCCAACGTAGTCAAGGCTACCGAGCCCATTCTTCCATCACGGTCCAACTCAGGAGCCTGGTCAGCCACCCCATGAGCCTTACTTAGAAGGGGAAGGGGGGGGGGGGTGGAAGGAGTCTTAAATATGTATAAAATGATAAAATTTTGTCCATGATTAATCCTCCAGAGTCACAATTAGATGACAGGGAACCCACAATGCTGTATGGGCTATCCAAGGGGTGCATCTTGGATATACACTTTGCAATCATTACCTCAAGAACCGTCAGTCCATCGAGATCAGGTTCAGTAACAAAGACAGGGTTTGACAAAAGCTTTCCCTCACTCGAACACATCAGGTACTCCAGTTCTACAGGCGGGAAAGAGTGCTGTCTCAACCCATCATCATCTTGTGTTCTCCATCAGAACATAAGAAGTTAAACTAAAGAATATTCGTGATTGGATTAGAGTCATCAAGAAGTTTCATCCAGAGAGTAGTAGTAGTAGTGGAGAGGGAAGAAACAAAGAGAAAAAAGGTTTCCAGCAAAATTAGCATAAAAAAAAAAAATCTGCAGGAACATAAGGCTCAAAAAGGACAGATGGAAATGCCATCCTATTGAGCATTACACTCCAGCTGCCACCAACAAAGCCTCCTCATGCCATCAACGGGCTAGACATTCAGGTAGGTGCAGTTGTAAGTAATACACTCCTGACCTATCAAACTGTTCAATGACTTACACTTCACATACCAGAGAGAAGCGTAACCATAAAGCCAGATCCTCCCATTATTCTAGCCTTGGGCACAGCATGGACAAATAATGTGCTTAATCAGGTGATAAGCCAGGCAAAATAATCTGTTTAGTTAATATGTATATTGATAGAAGTATTTCATTCCATTCTACATTAATTACAATCATTAACCTGCCCTGAATATCAGTTTAGTTTACTTTATATACACTTGTTCTTGAATCCCTGGTGCTTCTGGCACCATAAACTATATTATACATTTTACAATAGTTAATGTAAGACATAACAGGCACTCTGCTCTTCTTTCATACACAAGTTTCACTTCCATATGTCAGGGCTGGGAGTACAGTACTACCTGTCCATTTTTCCTTACTTCCGTACTAACATTCCTTCCTGTCACTTTATCCTCGCTCACAACTCACTCTGATTTCATCTAATTTTTTTACCTAACATTGACTTTATGCATTTAAAACTTACAAACTGTTTCGATCTCTTTGCATCATTACACATCCCAAACATTCTGACCCATGTACTATAAACCTCCTCAACCTCCTCTTCACCTCCTAAAGTGAGGAGCATAAAATATTAATGTTAAAATAGGACTTTTGCAGTGGAAGAAAGTTGACTTTTGAAGGTCTAAGAGTAAACATTATAGGAAAATATAAAATTTAAATTAAACTGTATATTGCCTTTCACAGGTTTTAAAGAAAAGTAACCCATGTACAAATTAAAGTCAGCTTGTAGCCTTTTTCTCCCACTAATCGAGAAACAACTTTGACAATTAATATAATAAACATCAATTTGTTTTTTATTTAAAAAGATCTATGTTAAATGTCCCGTGAAATTTTTGTAAATGTTTAAATGTTATTTTTGTAAATATTTTGCAATCAAACTGGCTTTAAACAATAGCTGCAGGACCAGTGACATACCAGTACAGAAAAAAAGCACCCGCCACTTGTATGGCTAAAAGGGAAGGGAATTTTTCATGGGGAAAGTGCCAAGCCATTACGACTATATAGCACTGGGAAGGGGTCAGGATAAGGATTTGGGATGGGACAGAGGGAAGGAATGGTGTCTAACCACTTGGACTGTTGGGGATTGAACGCCGACCTGCATGAAGCGAGACCGTCGCTCTACCGTCCAGCCCAAGTGGTTGGACAAATATCCAACTCTAATGATTATCTATGTAACAAAACACTATAGTTTAGATGCAAGTATTTACTATTCAACCTTACCCCAACACCATAACTTTTACTTCCTCCTTGACCTTTTAATGGGACTTTGATCAGCTCTACTGAAAAAGAGAATAAAGATGTTTTTTTTAAATTATACAGGATTGTGTACAAAAATAAAAAGTAATACGATAGATAAGTCTTACAACTAAAGGTTTTGTCATGCAGATTCAAGCACACTCAATGAGAACTCAGAAATTTAAATTAGCTAAAGCTAAAAAAAATACCCATAATACAACAAGCTTAATTTCAACATTAGCCCCTGCACTGCGCAAAGTGCCTTAATTAAGGCACTCAGTCGGTGGTACGTGTGATGCCTTTTGGCACTCGTGGGTATATCATAAGATTCAAAACTCCCATACATACACAGGGCTCACATTTGCTTCCACAGGCCTCTAGTAACCATCCCCCATCTTGAAAACAATTCCCGAGTCCCTCACTTTCCTTCTAGGGCTTTAGTTAAAAAGATGAAGACTCGCACATTACCATCCAGTGTCGGAATGTGCTGGGCGGCCATAGTAGGAGCCATTGAACTTCTAACAGCAAATGAGTGATTACCATGAATATAATTACAGGCAAAATGTGTGCTATGTGTACTTATAAGATTTAGGCTTAGATATCTATATTAGTATGAATAAATACATGCTGTACGTATATTTATACACACACAACTATACATACGTATATTTTCAAAGTTATACACAATGCACACCACCTTTGACACATCAATACAACTTGTTAGAACAAAACTAAATAAATAGTGCAAAACAATGAAAATAAATAAAAGTTATTCTCATGTGGCAGCTCACCTCATTTCTCCTGAAAACAAATGCAACTTCTTCAGGTCACTACAGCTAAAATACATGAGGTAGAGACATTATATGTGGACTTTTGTGCTTCCCAAATGTTAATTAACAATGTCAAAATAAACAATAATTTTTTCCGAACAATTATTTCTGTGCACACCACAGGAGTGTGACATGTGCGCAGTGCAGGGGTTAGGCCAAGGAAGCAAGACTGAGCTGGCTACAATTATAGCAAAATCTAATTAGTTTATGGTAAATTTTTAGATTAAATCAAAGAGAAGGGGATGAAGGCAAAGAGAAAAAAAAAAAGAGAGGTTGAGCGGTCCGTCTAATTACCACAAGCTACACAAGCTTCACAAAGCTTCACAAAGCTTATGTTAGTAATGAATAAATATGATATTACTAATTATAATGTTGGTGCTGAATGTACAAAACGAGAAAACATAATTTTAATCTGAAAAAGTATATTTTTATTAAGAAATTAGACGAAAATAAAGAGCTGGTGACGCCAAATAAAGTCGACGATCCAAGCGTCGGTTAGGTTAGGTTAGGTTAGGTTTGGTTTGGTTTGGTTTGGTTAAGTTAGGTTAGGTTAGTTTAGGTTAGGTCAGCCTAACCTAACATATCATATTTATTCATTACTAATGTATTGCCAGGAAGCTTTCTGAAGCTTTGTGAAGCTTGTGGTAATTAGATGGACCCAGGTTGAGTAATGGAGGGAGGATTAGGGGAGCAGAAGAGAAGCATGGTTAAGGTGGCAGAAGAGGAAGGGGGGGGGGGTAGGAAAAGGAGAGTTAAGAACAGGAGAAAGGCATGAGGGGAGGGGGAAGAGGAGGGGGAGGGGGAAGAGGAGGGGGAGGGGGAAGAGGAGGGGGAAGAGAAAGGGGGGAAGGGGAAGAGGAGGAGGACTTGAGGGAGGAGGGAGGGAGGCTAGAGGAAGAACAGTAGGATTAAGAGTGTGAAAAAGAGGGGCAGTTAAGAAAAAAAAAATGAGAAAAATAGAAGCAGCAGGAAAGATGGAGACACAGAATTTGTCTACGAAGCCTCCCTAAAATACTACAAGTTATATTTCAGAGGATGTACAGTACAATATTAAATACGGTATTATGTACAAGTTCAATTACTTGGCTTCAGAGCTTAAAACCAATATTAACACTTACCTCATATCTGCAACGATTTGTTTGTACTCAGGAATGCAATGCTCTGCTTCAATTGGCAGTGGATATTTGATCAAATACTCGTTCAGGAAAATAGGAAGGAGGACAGGAATCTGACGTGCAGCAAAATTGGCAAGATCAATCTTTTCTGGAGTTTTGTTCATTTCCAGGAAGAAATGAGTAACATCTTTCTCTTCTTTGTATGGAGGTCTGAGGAAGAGATCATCATAACTCTTACTATTGGAAATGTTTCATATGTTAACTATGAAAACCAAAAATGGTACACAAAAAATATTCATAGCAAAGGTAAGAGGGGGAGCCAAATATACCTATAAGTTTTATATATCTAGTATATTTCTATAGAGTCATGAAGCTAATGACCAGGATGATTCATAACTAGACTTGAGTGTCCACTGAACAGAATCATAATAAAGTGTAAACAATGACAAGCTTGTAAGAAACTTTGTTCTACTCTCCCAGCTGCAAAATTTCATATATTTCAAATCAAGTATATTTCTATTTCAAATTGAAAAAAAATAGTTTCAAATAACTCCTCTTTATTCAAATAATTAGGGTTGAACAACCTTCTCTTCCACAAATCTTAATTAATTTCTACTGAATTATTTTAAAAATAAAAACAGGTAAAAGCCTAGACAAAGACTGGGTCAAAGAGGCAACCCTACAACTATAAATGTGTAGAGATGCTACAATGGATGATCAAATAATGATTACTATCTAACATACTACTTCCAACCTTTAAACTCTGAATCTGAATCTTGGAATACAATGAATACTGTAGTTAAATTTACAACCCATCCTCATCAACAATGTTAAATGTTCCAGCCACCAAACACCCCCCCTCCCTCTATTTATGAATGAAAAACACTTCACACATGATTCACAACAACTGATGACACGTGTATTTTTCTTGAGTAGTGCTTCGTTCATGTCCTCGGCTTGAATCACACCTCTATGAATGCTTCACCCATGTATTGCTAATACTAATAATTGTCAACAGAACCTAACCACCTAACCCAATTTAAGCCTAACTGTTTAACACAATCTAGTGTGCAATATTACCTTATATCTGAAAAAATTAAATTTTGAATATGCAGTATGTATATGTATGTTAAAATTGATGAACGCACCTTTGGGTTCAGCTGTCGCCTGGACGAGCCTAGCCCGAGGACAGGTTGTAAATATAAAATTCATGTAGGTGAAATTATCTAAATATGCATATGGCATTAGTTAATTGATGGGACAAAACAATAGCCATTCCAGTGAAAGATACATGAAAGGATTACAAAGAAAAGCTAAATGAAAGAAGAACAAGTACTGTAGTTAGGTAATTAACTATTATCATGTAGTGGGATAGGGAGTACTGTACATATAGAAAAGATCACATAAGAGCACCAGATAATAGAACAGGGCTGTAGGAAAACGTCTCATCTAGGTAAGCTTTGCACCGGGAACGTCATGGTGACATGAATTGCCACTAATACAGGAATGTGGATAAAGCTGGATACAAATCTTTAAAGGAGCTACATACATTTTGTACTGAAATACCTTCAATAGGCCTACCAATAAGATAATATTTAACCTATAAAACACAGTGTTGAGTACAGTACTAAATTCCTTACATTCCTCTGATAACCGTTCCACCACCTGCTTCAATAAGACGAGTAAAGGCTCCTATCCGTTCTCGGCTGGAGTGGATCAAAGCTCTCATGTTTTGAAAGACCCCTCTTGTTTCACCGCCATTGGATACATCGTGAATTTTAATGCGCCATCTTCGAGCAGCAGAAGCCAACCTGAACTCTAGGCTTTCAGGTACTAAAGCTGGCATACATGTATTAGCCGGATTACCCCATTCATGTGGCTCTTCCTGTCAAAGTAAAATAATAATTAAAAAAAAAAAAAAAAAAAAAAAAAAGTATAATGAAAAACTTTTCTTGGCAAGTCCCTAGGTTGATCTCTAAGGAAAAACTGTGGCACAGGATAGGTTTATGCTTAGTCTGGACAGGACAGTAATCTACATAGGTGCAGCAGAAATATTTCTGACTTTGGAGCTACTGTATATTACTTGAGTTGCCCCTAAAGGCAAGCCTCACTTAAAAGAATATATAAAAAGAAGCTAGTGACAGGAACATCTGGTGTTATCAATGCATTGTGCAACATGGCACCCAAATTCTACCAGCAGCAAAAAAATATCAGGAAAACCACCTGCCCAAGGAGAAATTCCAGGGAGAGAAAATAGAAAACACAGGCAAGGTGCTGGAGTGCAATTAGTGGGTCAACTCCCAGAACCCTTGCATTACAATGTCCAAACAGGATACAGCTGGGAAAATATGCCAAGAGGAAGACAAAATCCTGCCGAGAAGAATCAAGTAGAAATGACTGTGATGAATGCAGTGGAACCACACTACGAGGCATCTGGGAGATATGTATTCTCACACCATTATCAAGGGATTAAAAGCAAATTCTAGGATCATGAAAGCCCTTAGGCATTGAACTAATTATGCAAAATTGCTGCCAGCCACAGTAAAAATAAAACAATTTACATTGGAAGGGTGAAGATCTTGAATGAGAATAAGATCTGAAACCAAGCAGGACTTGGAACTCAAAAACCTCAACAAGAGACCAGTCGAGTTCCAATGGAATACAAGAAGGATGGTCACAAAGTACTGAAGGTAACATGCAATCAATACTTATGATAAGAAGCAAGCCAGAATGAGAAAGATGGAATATCAATACCCGACTACCATTCAGATTGCAGTATACGTGCCCCAGCAAATCCAAACTGAAAGATTGGCAGCGAGTGTCTAGTAGGGATAATGAGTGTAAAACACTTGGAACCAGAGTAGAACAGACCACATATGAGCCAGCAAAAATAATCCAGTCTACAAAGTCTTTAACTATGACAGGACAAGGAGTAACATCTGGGCTAGAGGAAACAGTCTTCCGGTGATTCTAGTCAAGATACAACACATCCAATGCAAATGCCTTCTGATGGGGAAATGAAGTTACAAATGCAGAAGGCCTGTGATTCTAAAGAGATACAAGTCCACCTGGGCCCACTTGAGCATGGACAAACCAGCTGCATATTCCGTCTGAATCAAAATGGGAAAGCACTATGTGAGCACATTCGAAACTCCCCGAATGAGAACCCACTGTGAAGACTAAACACCTGAACGTCAGAAGCACCCCCAATAGGAAACGGAACAAAACCTCCCCAATTGATGCAAAGCACCACCCCGAGCGCTGTCTGAACACAGCTGCAGAGCCAAGCCTTATAGGAGAGGTATACTAAGGTACCATCTAAACCACTGCCCTTTCCTAAATCCATCAATGTCAGACACTGTTATGCATGAAGTGGATGAAAACAAAACCCAAACCCACACTGGATGCATTGGTCAACCGCTCGAGCACCTGAAGATGAGATTGCCAGAAACTAAATCCCCAAAAAACCAAAGAGGAACCCCTCTAGCAAGACTCTGCAAGAAGAAAAAGGAGTATACCCCATCTGCATGGGGGCAGATAAGGCATACATCAAGGGAGTATGCCCCTAAGCCAGTGGTGAACTACTGACAAGAAATTTATACAAAACTTTCAACCATACACAACCTTGAATAAATAAGATGTAGGCAGAGTTCAGGTAATCTAAAAGATGTTTGAGAATCCAATAGGGCAGCTGATGCCTCTCCTGACCAGCTGAACATGGAATATGAGCCTGGACAAGACAAGCCTTTGAAAGGCTTGTCAACCTGGTATCTCAATGATGCATTGTCTATAGTAGATCAACTATTTCCATATATAGTACAGTATATAATCTAAAGTGATAATGTGTTAGCAAAATGCACTTATAAATTTTTGGTAAAGCCATGTGAGGAACGCATGCCTGATATGAGCAAATTATAGAATGCGAGTTAATAGTGGAATAATAGAATTAACATGGTAGAAACATCGAGAACAACAAACTTAAAAGGAAAGACTTTTTTTTTAGAACAAAAATAGTTTGCTAGGAACATAATTGGCACTCTAGGTTCCCATGAATTTTCTGCCCATATACTCACCAGAATTTTTTGTTTTCAAACCTTTTGTCATCTTTATTGATGGGGTAAATCTTGTAAGTATCAAAGATCAACAATTTAAGGGGTGAACCACCGGCTAAAAATAAGTCACAAAACACTGCACCTCCCTCAAAGCAATGTTTGGCAACAAAGGAATCTTCAAAACCCCAGCATTGAATATAATGAACCACCTCTTTCTGGGAGACCCTTAGTGGTTCCCTGAAGCTCATTGAGATGGTTCCCCATTACTGGGTCATATCAGTTCCAGGAGTTTTATATGGTTTACTGGGTCCCAGAGCTAGAACCTGCCCCCCCCCCTCTCACAGAGGTGCAAGGATGGAGTGAGAGACAATCTGCCTCCCCAACAGGAAAGCATCTAGAAAGTCAGTGAAGATTTACAGACAACTGCTAGGTCCACAGAAAATTAAGCTTTCACTCATCTGCTAAACCCCTCACCCCCTCTGCCACCAGTTACCAGCTCAAGCAACCACCTCTTTTGGGCACTCTCAGTGATACATAAAATATATATATAGTCATCATTTTCTGTAAATGTACCTATTTACAGGAATAGAACATTGTCATTGTGAAACACTTAGCTATGTGTAGTGAATGACTGGTCATTGGATTGTAAGGGTCCTAAAAGTTAATCCAATTAATGAAACATATTAATGGAAAATGCAATTTCATAGCATGTTAAGCCAATTTTCCAGTGTATAATTGCATTTAGAAGCACTGTAGCAGAAATAACAGACAAAATGCTTACCTCAACAAAACATCCCGCCTCAAAGGAATCTTCTATAAAAGAGCTACGTAGCATCCACTTCCCTGATGCTATTGATGCCAAGTGTCTTTCTGAACGAGATGGTCTTCCTGTGACTACATGTGTACTAAGAGGGTCAAAATTTTGGTCCATACTGATTGTTCCTCCTAATTCTTCAATCATTTCAGTGTATTTACTTTTTTCTTCTTCAGACATACCCAGTAACACAATAATGTATTGAGGTTTTGACAAGGGAAGCTGGTTTGCAGTCTTAACTGTAGACACATCTCGTTCAGCATCAAACAGTAAGGTTACGTCCTGATCCGCTGTGGAGTTCTCCTTGTCATTTTCACTCTCTTCTGATGACAACTGATAACAAATAAAATAATGAAGTTCAATTTATTTTGTCAACCTAAAATAAGCAACTCTATTAAAATACTAGTAATTTACATTAATCATTCTTTTGCAAACTAGAGAGCAAAAATAATTTTAAATGAGCTTCCTTTCTCCACCTTGATATTATGCTGTATTTGCAATCATTTAGGTCAATTATCTAATGTAGTCTAATTTGACATACATTCCTCCCACTCTACCAAGCTAACACTGAAACCCACACCTTTCTAAACACACAATGATTGATAGACTAACAGAAATATTATCTAACACTAAAGCTATAAAATCATTTGTGCTGTATAACAATATTATTTTAACTAGCCACTGAGAATTAATGTGTGCTCAACTGTGCTATAAGTATAACCACAGGTATTATCTGTTGACCAGAAGACGCACTTCACATACCCCCATTCAAATTCTTTCTAGCTTTAGGCCTGGTCGAGGATCGGGCCGCGGGGACACTAAAAAGCCCCGAAATCATCTCAAGAAGATCTCAAGATAGCTAGCCAGAGAATGCAGAGAATGAATATCAGGTTGTGCCTAAGCACAGGGAGTGGGACTGATGATGATATAATTTAACACCGCACATTTTGGGTGAGGAGAAGGTGGACATTAGTGAACCATTAGTGCTAGATTTTTGGGGGATAGTCAACACAACTTGAAAAAATACTTAAGAGTTTACCTATTTCTTTCAAATAGTTTAAATTGTAGCTAATAATCTAACCTATCTAACGACAATAAAAACAGAGAATATTGAAAAAGTAATCAAAAAGACAATTTGGGTCCCCATAATTGTAGATAAGTGTCTGCATACACATTACTAACATTAATTACTAACTATCATTATCTCTATCTGTTGTACTATCAACTGTTCATATCCATCCTTTAATTTAATATTGCAGCTATTTTTACCCATGTCCATTTACACTTTCTCATGTAATGTACTTTTACATTTACCATTGTAGTAAATACATAAAAATAATTAATTTTTTGAATCTACAAAAAACTGCTATAGCATATACAATTTACATGTATAATTATCATATTTCTTCACTGCAAAGCAACTATCATTAATGAAGAATTTTTCTAATGCTCACCTGCTGGTTGTCATTTATGATATCCTGAGTATCTTTTGTTAGTTGGTGTTGTAACTTTAATCTTGCCTCACGCTCTACAGGGTCAACCCATGTGATGGCTGTATTCTGCGACTCTGGAACCTCAGCAGCAACTGCAAACATGAATTAAGGTTAATCAACATTCAATAATCTATTTCCTTCACTTTCTTTTCAGACTGAGGGCTCCACAACCTTAAGAAAATCATTCACTTAATCTTGAAAGTGGATTAAGAACTGCATGGCCAGTTCTTAATAAGGGCCACATGAGGTCTTGCATTGACAAATTTACTGTAAAAATCTACATGTTGATTTCATTCTTACACATGTGGAAACAATTACCAGCTGCTCAAACTCAGATAAGGTATCTGATTACAGTACTGTACTTGGAAAGATCGAGGGGGATTGACTTTGCATACAAATACTAAAGTGAATCAAAAGAGGTGAGGAAAAGCAGATATGTTCAACAACCTTGTACACTTACCTGGCTGTGTTTCAATTTGCATTGGTCTAGTTGGTGTATGTTTTAATCTCTCATTAATAGATCTACTTCTGCTAGCCCCAGAATTCCTCCGTACTGATCCACTATTAGTTGCTAAGGCCTCAATCTCTTCCAGCTGCTTTGACAGTGCAGCTTTCTTTTGATCTTCACTCTCTAAATTTTCTCCATCATCATTGCTCTGTCCTGTTTCTTCACCTTCTTCGTCACTAATTTTATCGACCTCAAAAAGATTTTTCTTCGTCGGTCGTCCTTTCTTTGTACTGGGTGTTGTCTTGGTGCTGACTATTGAGAGTGACATTTTTGGATTATGAGTATGTGGAAACAGAAGTTCATCTATCTTTGTCTTTTCATCGTGACACATCCACACCCAATCGGGTGCCACAATAAACTTCCCTTGTTCTCGGGCGATCCTAAACTCTTTGTGTGTATCATTATTTCGTCCTTGAAAAATGTAGTGCGTGACTGTGTGATCATAAGCCCAACGATATTCGCCTCCAAGATCAGCCACAGTTTGATACAATTCTTTCTGTTGACCTTGTAGCTTATTTGATGTACACACAACTACACCAGTCAACGGACCGTGGTTATCAGCTGCTACATTTTGAACATTTTCATCCCCCAACTTTTCATTTTTATCCTTCCTTAGCCAAACAGGTTCCTTTACCTTGTAATTTTGCACTGTTTCTTTTACATCAACAGAGAATCTTTTATAATATTCCTCAATGGGAGTTCCTGGTGGAACTCGACGCTTCACTGGTGCTGGGTCTGGAATGGAATCTATTAGGCGCTTGAATCCTTTTCTTATTTGAGAAGATGGATTAGGATACCATGTACTTCCGTATGGAGTGTCTGGAGTCGGCATTTCAGAAAGGCTTCTATTAGTTTTAGACACACCAGGTGTAGGATAAACTGAAAAGATTAAATAATACAAGGTCAGTGAAGCATAAAACAAGTGATCCATGGGGGTTGCACACAATAATATATATATATATATACTGTATATATACAAATTTAACAAATAAAAACAAACCTTTCAATAAGTTATTAAGTCTTCAAAAAATTAATGACTTGCAGAACATCGGTTAAAGAAAACACCATATTTCCGAAATATGTAACTGACAGAGTTGGATGATAGGGTAATAATTAGATAGTTTAGATTATATTTGATTATCCACTTCTACTGTCACTGATGGAACCACTGGGCCTGCTCAAATGTTCTAGACTTTCAATGAAGGACGTCATATCTGCCAGCCATGTTGTGGTGAGAGGTGTTGTCATAGTGCCAGTTGGGGTGACATTTGATTATTAACTGGAAGTTAGAAAAGCAATAATTGGCTATCCTTTCATTTTTAATAACTGCTAGCATGAGATACTGATGCTTCTTTTTAATCACTGTGAGTTAGTGGCACAGTGGTGGTATGGGTTAGGCGTACTATTTTCTTTCACCGATTTCAGCTTTCACTGACAAGACCATTTGAAATCTTTCTTATCACAGTGAGAACATGGTCAGCGAGAGCCTGGCATGTGATATAATTTCTGGGTGGACCACACAGGCATTGGTTCAGGAAGTACATGATCTCTAAGAGGAGTGAATCACCAATTTCAACACCCTCAATTTTTATCTATAAACAATAATAGAAGCTTTCCTGAGATATTCAACTACAGTATATAAAATCCATTTTAACTTAATTCTCCACTACATATCCCACCTTCAGTATTTCAACAAATAAATACAAAAATTACACGCAACGTGGAACTTACGTTTTCTAAAGCTTTCTGCATCTGGTGTCTTAATTTTGGATGGAGAAAGGAGGGACTGCTCTCGAAGAGTTTTAATCTGCTTATTGACAGGTGTTGCAGGAACAAGGGTGTCGTTTCTTTCCATGTCCATCGTTTCTTCAACACGACACAAAGTGCCGTTACTAAACTCGCCTCCTGTTAAAATATGTAAAGTGTGAATATAAACATTTCTACAGAACAAATTATACAGTTATAATAATATAATTAGTCTCTAACTGGCATAATGGATGCATTCTTGAAATGCCTTGAGCAAATCCAGGTTAACACATACTTCAGGAGTCAGGATGAGAGAAAGATCTGGGGGGTTGATATCACACCAGACCTGTCCCCTGAAGCCCCTATTGGGAGGATAACATCAGCAGCATATGCAAGGGTGGCAAATACAAGAACTGCATTCAGAGACATGTGTAAGGAATCATTTAGAACCTTGTATATCACATATGTCAGACCAATAATGGAATATGCGGCTTTAGCGTGGAGTCCACACCTAGTCAAACACAAAAACAAAGTAAGAAAAGATTCAGAGGTATGGCACTAGGCTAGTCCCAGAGCTGAGAGGAATGAGCTATGAGGAAAGATTATTGGAATGGAATCTCATGACACTGGAAGACACAAGAGTCAGGGAACGCAATCACTACATACAAAATTCTCAAGAGGAATTGACAGGATAGATAAAAATAAACTGTTTAACACAGGTGGTACATAAACATGGAGACACAGGTGGAAACTGAGTACCAAAATGAGTTACAGGGACATTAGAAAGAACTTTTTTAGTGTCAGAGTAGTTAACAGATGGAATGCATTAGGCAGTGATGTGGTGGAGGCAGACTCCATACACAGTTTCAAATGTAAAAATGATAGAGCCCAGTAGGCCCAGGAATCTGTACACTAGTTGAGAGGTGGGACCAAAGAGCCAGAGCTCAACCCCCGCAAGCACAACTAATTGAGTACATTATACAAGTTAATATAAGGATGCATTCAAGACATCTTAAAAAGACCTATTCTTTTTTTACTCCAATTAATACCCACCTGATTATTATCACTAAATAATCCTTCCAAAAATATAGTACTGTACTGTACAGAATGCTTGTAAGGTGCCACAAAACAAGAAAATAATTTTTAAATAAAACAAAGAGAACTGTGTCACAATGAATTGTATGTCACAAGGTCAGTGTACTATATTTGGGAATCGAGTACCAAACAACTTGGTAGTGCGAATCTCGTGCACTAAGTCGTATACGGCTAAGTCGTATATCGTATACGATGAATCTCTTCATTCACAATTAGAATTTTGGTACCAAAATAAAATAAATATGGATAACGAAGAAAATATCATAAATAGTCTCAAATATACTAATTTAATTAAATTATATATAATGACAGCTTAACCTATTACATTTGGTCTATCCTTTTGCTACCTACAATCCATATGCCTAATTATTGTCTTTAATTCCTATGGCTGACAAGTTTTGAGTAATTGTCTTGGGAACAATTAAAACATGGTTTAGTTGATATTTCCTGCCAGTCACCTCTAAAGAGAGCTCTTTACAAATCTTTACCTCATTATTTACAGTTGGTTATCAATGTAGCAAGATGCTGCTGTGTAACAAACATTAACTATACAATCAACAAGTTGGAAATACCGTAGAACCAGGAACGAAATTGGTGTAGATAATGTCGCACCATAGAAGACCAACTAACACAATCAAGAAACACTAAACATTTTTATTATAGTAAGGAATCGTTTGGTATTTGTTCTGTACTGTAAATGAAAAGACTCCAATGACTGCCGTAAGGATTGCAAATGCAGGACACTGGAAACTGGACCATGGGGCACTGCATGATTTGTATGCACTACTGTATAGCATATCACAAAATGAAGTAATGCATTCAACTCAAAAACAGTGCAAATGACACAAGCAAGTCGTGTCACATAACTGGGAAACAGGAATGATGGCTCTTCACATACCAGATTACGTACTCTACCATAAAGCATAAAATATATTGTTACGGGAAGGAAGTTTGGTGTTATCTACATATGAATTAATGCAGTTTCTGGTTACCGAGAGAATACTAATGTAAAAATAAAAGCAATGCAACAAGGAGAGCTCCTAGTCATGTTAAGATGACTTAAACCTCCTTAAATTTTATACAAAGGAATACATTTTTTTTTTATTTTCATGTAAACTAGAAAATTGTAACTTATGACAATACTTTACAAGCCTACCCAACCAAATCAAATAATTAAGTAGTACAGGAACTTACCAAGTCCTCTTACAAGTGCTTTCCTATCCAACTCAGGGTATTTTTTACTGTTGACATTATAAACCGCTTCCGATTCCTTTTTGAGGCTTCGGGCACATACCAGCAACCAGTCACACGTAACTGCTGGCACACCCCATTTTGTGGCAGCACGATATTTATCACCCTCAGCTGCTGGGCATATGAGATGGGTGGAAGCCATGATATTTTTAGCTGCATTGGATTTTTTGGCAAAAACTTCTTGAAACCTGGAATAAAAGTGGGGTGCGTCTTAAAATACTCCATTAAATTTACCCAAATATTACATTGAATTAGATATGGTTTGATCACCCAAGAGCAATTGCTACAAATATTCCCATGCCAGCATACTGCAGCTGCTTAAATGAGTGTGCAGGGTGTACAACTATGAGGCCTGTAATAACCACATTTGTGCAATGAGGAGTACAGTGAAATAACCACATATGATGAAATTATTCCACGAGTGTAATAAATACAGAGGGGTAAAATGATTAGAGGGTGCATTGAATATTACACCCTCTATGAGTAGTAGTAGTAGTGTAATTAGGAATGATTTGTGGGTATGGTTCCAGATAAGTTCCAGCTTCTGCGCTATGTAAAAAAAATATTCACATAAAAACGGAAACCATGTATTCTTTAAATGTCTTTTATTAACTTTGTATTTTTTTCATTTTTTTTATACTCGACACTTTAATGTTCCGACCCATCAGCACATTCCTGACCTTAAATGTTTGAGGTATCACAGAGTCCCACTCAGTGACACCAAGATGTTTATATACTCTTTAACATTCTCTCAGTTTTGGGGGTTTTACTATAAATTCGATATCAAAATGTTTGCACAAAAATTTGCTAAGAGGATAGATGAATACTAAAATGTGATTTGATAGTATGATTTGCAAGGCAGTACTGACTATACCATTTTATGAACATTTCAACATTCATCATATATTTCTCAACATTTTCTTCAAACATTTGTCAACATATAGTTCCCTGATACTTTGGTTGGTTTCCTGATAAACTATGTCCAGGCTGTGCTCTTTCCCGTACAAAAGAAGTGTTTTTTAAGATGGATGACTCATTTTAACATCATTGGAATGTTTACTATTGGAGTATGGATGATGCATTTTAGCATCACCGAAATGCCGAAGTGTTCAAAGTTGAAATGCAAACAAAATAGATAGCTCAGTTGATTAAGGCAGCATCTGGGATGCTCTCGGACGTAGGTTCGAATCCTCGTCACGGCCCTTGTGAATGTGTTCAGAAAACAGACGTGTGAAATAAAGTAACAAAACAGAGATTGGGAACTTACATAGCACCTAAAGCAGCAGCAACATTTACAAGAAAAATTCTCTCTTTGCCTTTGTATGTAGAGATAGCAATACTGCAACCTTCAAGACAACCTGAATCTCCCTGAAGGCGCAAAGGCACATGAAAGTATTCCACTGGTAAAAGCTCCTGTGGAAAATACATCAATCAATATATGATGCAAAACACAACACATGCACAAAATAAATATAATTAAAAACAATAAATAACTAGATATGGTTGTCATCTTAGAGCAACTGTGGGAGGTATGCCAAGTCTCCTACTGCAGAACACCTCACTATGCCCTCAATTTCATGAAACAATCTAAGAAGCATAACAAATTAACCACTAAATTTTCTCCTGTAGTACAAAAATTATTACAGGAAGGGAAGATTAATTATTCATTAATTTCACACCCAAGGTGGGTGTGAAAACAGTTTATTTTGTTGGTTATTATTGTGCATATTCACATTACCTTCTGTTCTATACAATCCTCGATGAAATAAAAGGTTATTATTTCTTCTGCTCTAGAATGAACTGTTCCATTTCCACTAACATCCAACAACGAGAAATGAACTTGGCCTTGGTAAGCAAATGATACCATTTTTCCTCCATGCTCACGAATTGTTATAATTATGTCCTCAGTTGTGTCTTCATTATAGCCAGACACGGTGAACACTTTCCCTAGGATAAACAGATAAATGCTATAAACAAAATTAATCAATCCTAAATATATAAAGCCTAATGTAAAATGACACACAGCAAATAAAATACTGAGCTGATCAAAATTTTCAAAAAAGTATTGTTCTTCATTTTAAAGTTTTCAAATAATTTGAATACTTTTACGTCAACTTTAAAAGGAACGAGACTACTACAGAAATGCAATGCCCAGAGCCCATCATGGGCACCAAATGTTGAAAATATTATGAAATTTAAATATTTGACATCTGAACTGTGCTCCTAAGGAAATAAATGGGAAAATATAAAACAATAGGGCAAGTGAAATGGTTGATTACATCCCAGAAAAGACAAATTTAATTGCCAGAAAAATGTGAATGTAATTAAAGGAATAAGTACTCATATGACCCAGACACACTAGAAAGAATTGTTTTCAGGGTCACAGTAAACAAATGGTAAAGAGGTATACCCTGTCCAAGAATTGACTGAAGGCTGAGAAGCGGGACCAAAGAGAGAACGTTCAAACCCCAACAAGCACGATTAGAAGAAAAATCCTGTCCTCTTAACTATGCAGCCACCCTTGCTCCCACCCATTCCTGCCTCTACCTGTCTTGTGCCCTTCTGCTCAACATTCATGCAATAGTGCTTGTGAGAGTTAACTCCAGCTCTTTTGTCTCATTTCTCAACCAAAGCTTTAAGTAGAACATTATAAATGTGATGACATGCTGTGTACCCTGCAGGGAGGTATTCAATTCCTCTTTAAAGTGTACTCAAAGTTCTATTCCAAGTTTTAAACTCAACACAGTGGGAATGTAAGGCATCTTGCCACAAACCACTCCAAGATTGGGTAGCTATTTTTGTATTATAATTATTGAGTGTTACTAAATTTACTGTGCTATTATTTACAAACTTTAAGATTACAAAAAGCATTATTATGCTTTAAGGGCTAACATCCAAAAACAAATATAAAGTGTAACTGTAATAGTATCAGTTAAAAAGGCAGTATCAGTCAAAATGTTTGTGTTGGTTTACCTCTATTATGTACTGTGATAAAAGGAAACAATGATATCAGGAATTTCTGAAGATATGTCAGAGCCATACAAATTTAATCATTCTTCTGCAAGAGCTATTCTACTGAAAGTCCAAATACTATGTAGATGACAACAGGGTATTAACCAGATAGTAACTTACCACTGAAGATTCCTGCCACAAAGGATACCTGAGAGTCTGGGAGTGAAGACATATTACCAGTTTCATTCATGCTGAAATCCTTAGGACCATCACATTTAGTAGTCCTTAAATATTGATTAAGTATTTCTTCATCCACATAGGTCTCATTGTTATCAGGGAAAGTAGCTGCAGGAACTTTGCCAAACTTATCGGCTTCATTCGAAATAATACATTTTTCAGTATCAAGTAAGTAAGAAAAAGGGCTTTCATCTGCTGGTCGCCTCAGCTTGATACTTTCTATAATCCAGTCAGCATAAACGATATGGGGCTTGGATGTCCACTTCAGGACAGTATTAAGGTGTTCTTCATTACTCTTTCCTGTTGACAAGTTAATTATATATTAAAATAGCCTTATTCTGAGCTGATAATAAGTGTTAAGACAAAATATGAATTAGAAAAGAACCATTTAAAATAAATACAGCAGTACAACTGGTCGAGTGCATGAAGCAAGATTTATAGTAAATATATCGCCAACCATGTTGTCAAGTTTTATCTGAAAAATAAAAGAATACATTAAACAGATTAATTTTCCATATAATTTTTTTTTATATGCAGTTTTGCCATGGTCCATGACTACACATGTTGCCCACTGTCCATATCCATCCATTTGAATTGGTCAGTACAACAACAGCAGTTCTTGAAGGTTGGTGTTCTGTAGCTGATGGTTCAAGTAATTGAACTTCATTCTTCTATCCTGTCCTCATATCCATTCCAAGTGCTATATAGCTATACTGACTTAAGTGACTTCTCTTGATAATTACCTTACCTATCCACATGCCTATGTAATGATGTAATGGACTGAGCTTGGCTTGTGCATTATTTGATCTCACATTTGTGGAACCTCCTGTTCCTCTTTAGCCATAACTCACTCACTGCCCTGCTATAACAGTAGCCACCTAGAGTTACCTGGCCTGCAAACTAGATAAAGCAATGTCAAAGATTTAAGAGTACTCATGTCACAAGACCTTACGTTTAAACACAACAAAGTAGCTGGCACAAGTGCAAGAAAAATGAAAGGTTGGATAACAAGAACTTTTTAAAACAAAAGATGCCACACCAATGATGACAGTATTTTTAAAGACACTAGTGCTTTCTAGAGTGGAATAGTATTTCATACTAACAGCCTAAAAGCTGGAGAAATTGCTGATCTGGAGAGCATGCAAAAAATATTTTATTGCTATAACCCATTCAATAAAACATCTGAATTATTGGAACCACTTAAAAATTATGAATTTGTATTCCCGAGTGCAGACAGGAGAGATACATAATAATTTACACTTGCAAAATAATAGAAGGACTGGTTCCAAATCTGCACACGGAAATAATACCACACGAGACAAGAAGGCATGGCAGGATGTGCAAAATAGCCCCATTGAAAAGCAAAGGTGCAATAGGCACATCGGGAAAGAACTATTAACGTCAAAGGCTTTTCAACGCTCTCCATTTACTCATATGGGGCATAACTGGCCAACCTCTCTCAGTATTCAAAAGACAACTTGATAAACAACTTCAAAGGATACCTGATCACCCAGGCTCTGACTCATATGTCAGGCTCTGAATAACATGGTTGAACAGACCACCAATCTGGAGGCCTGGTCAAAGACTGGACCGTGGAGACTTGATCTTCAGAAATGATAGGTATACAACAGCCATCACTTATCTGCACTCATCAAAATGATTTTAAAAATTTCAGATCATTGGCTATTGAAAGGAACTATACAGTAAATGCAAAATAAACACATTCCTAATTTTGTCAAACTTACCTAAAACAATATGAGAAACAGATTCATTTAGCTGATTGAAACGAGTGGCTCCTCCGGCATTGAGAACTCGGCGTAATTTTTCTATGTGAGTGGTGCCAAATCCAGACAAGAAGATCTTGCATCCATCTAAGAATATTCCTGCTTTCATTGCCTCCTGCAAATCTAGATTTTCTATGGCCTCCAACCCACGATTCACTGCAAATTTCACAAACGAACATTCGGTAATATAGCAACAAATTTGTAAAATGCCTACATCAGTTATTTCCTTATTTGGAAATTGGTCCCTAGGCACAAAGATAAGTAATTTATATAAAATTATTTAAATGAAATATAGTGCACTTAAAACTTACCAACTTGTCAAAAATAATACGTAACTCAGGATTTGTAATGTTGTAGTTTATATCAATACACTCTCACATAAACATTGTAATGTTTAGAAACATTACAACCCCAATCAAAGAAAATGTAAGGCTGGTGGGACAAAAATATTCTAGACATTAAACAAAAATAAAACATCCACTTTCTTTTTCCCAACACCATTGATCTTCGCTCATTCAAAAACTCAATAACTATTTGCAGAGTTTTATTTTAAATTCACGCTAACATTTTCTTTTCCAAGTTCATGAAACGTAAGAAACTCACCCTTATCATCACTAACCGAGTCCTTCTTCACAGCTAGTGATGTCTCCATATCTAGCGTCTCATTAATGTGTGACAATTTTGGTGCTTCAGACTCATTCATGATAGTGCTGCAGAGTGAAATATCTGGAGGCACTACAAAAGACAATATAGAAGATATTTCAATTAGACACAAAAAAATACTGACAATCCCAATTATATGGTTATAATTTAACTTACCCTAAATAAGACAATCCAGACAATTCCACAAAAATATTATTAAATGAAATATGTTTACAAGCAATGACAAAAAAAAAAAAAAAAAAAAAAAAAAAATGGGCAGGGCCAAACTAAATACAGTAGTGCCAATTTTTATAAACTTACTATTTCCGGTATTCTCATTGGTTGGGGTCGAGGCTCCACGAACTGAAACTTTATAACCTTCCATATGAAGAGCAGAGCCTTGTTCAACGGAGTCATAAATCCAATCGGGCGTCAAACACTGTATACGCCAATTACGAGCATAGGTGTACTTATTACCCTCTGGAGTGGGTATGATAAGCACTGAAGTATCAGCCATATCCAAAGTACTGGAATATGTACCACCTAAGAAATGCCACAAATTAAGTTAAAAAGAGTAAATTGAATAAACCGTTGTATATAAATTCAAAGATATAGCAATTCAAAATAAAGAATTATAGAAAATGCAAACACAAAAGTTAATGCATGTCATATAGCCATAACCTAACCTCAGAAAGAACTTGAAACCCTCCAGATTGCATCACTGAATCAAAATAAGGCCACATCTGGCTACCATATCGACAAGAACACATGAACAAAGGAATCTACAGATGGAGTATTGATCTATACCAAACATCTAGTGATATCTGACCCTTCCTTTCTATACTTACCCAAACCATGTTTGGAAACTTCCAAATGAGTTTGATTCTATCATGTTGGTAACTACTACTACTATAAATTTGTAACCCTGATTCCAAACCAGTGTTTTTTAATGTAAACTTCAACATCTAGTTCTTGGTTTAACTTATATTGCTATTTTAAAATGCCAATTATGCCCCCCACCCCAATTAAACTGTTATATCACTGCTTACTCTGTGTCTGCCGGAAATGTGCATAGTTCTGCTAGTCTCTCTTCGTAAGAGAAGTTCCTAATGCTCAGTGGTAACAATGGTAAGCACCCTTCTCTGCATACTTTCAAGAGAATTTACATTCACTCCCTGGTAAGGTGTCAAATTGTTCCCAACAATCAAAGTGAGTCTAACAAGATGAGGAGCAATTTTAGAACATTTATTACAGATTCTTCTGCCTTTTCCGCTTTAGATCCATACTATTAATGACTTTTAGCTTCTTTTTAACAATATGATTGCAGAGTTTCATTATTGCTTAACTGCTATAAGGAAAATTATGGTACCTCTGTTTATTTTTCCTATGAGTTGAAGCCTACAGCTGTCAGCACTGAATTGCATGTGACAATTTCCAGGGGTACAACAGACCCTCCCACCACAAATAATCATCATTAGTTATGGTTGTAAAAGATGGCTTGATCTCTACTTGCTTTCTTAAAACTTAGATGAATACATATATGAAAAACAGGTAAGAATAATAATCTTTTCAAACACTAAGTTAGGCTAGAGAACTGATGGTCACACAATTCTCCTCTAGGTATAATGTGTTATTATAATTAGATATTTTTCAAACAGCAAGAAGCACAGCAATTTATTTTAAAGGAATAATGAAAGTGGGCTTTCTTATATTGTTGATAAATGACAGCATCCAAGACCCCATGAGGTACTGTCATAAATTAACATAAACAATGAATACTAATCTAGCTAATGATGTTCGTCCTTTGTAGCCAAAGGTGACCATGACTTCAATATCAGGTCGAAGATTGGTGGTTGTGTGTCAGAAGATGGATGGCGAGACCAATCTGGGTCCAGATGGCTTGCCCACACATGGAACAAACCTTCGGGACCCAGGTTGGTCCATAAGAAAATGAAAATGCAGCAAACTAAGAAGTGATACTGAAGGGCAGGTAAAGCCATGTAAAGGTACCATCACTATAATGCTTCCTTTGGTGACCAGGAACAACTGGTATGTTGTTTTATATATTTTAAACTCAATTAGTTGTAAGGAATTCTAAAAGAAGTAATGACACAATGAACAATGAGAAGAGTATTATAGATTAAACAGTCTCCTTTACTGTATTCATTGCCAACTGAATATTTATTTTACACAAAAAAATAACAACAAAACATTTAGAATGTAACATTCCTAAAATCATAAGAATACAGTATAATTCAGAATTATAAAAAACTTACCATTTTCTTCAATCATCTTTTGTAGTGCAGCTTTTTCTTTGCGGGGCATCTGAGAGACACATATAGTAAGTCCTTTAAATACTGGACAAGCGTACGATAAAAACTGTTGGTCAGTGGCTAATATATCTTCTTGAAAATCCTTTCCAACAGATTTCCATACAGCTTTCACCCATTCGCCAGTCATAACTGGAATTTCTTGCTGTACAGCAACCTGAAAGTGACAAATAACAAATACAGATCTTTTAAGAAATTATGGCTATTTCTCACCAAATCACAGACAGAACCAAGGAGCTTTTATTAAGACAATGTGTTAGGACTTTTAATATATGTATAATACCAACTTACCCTCAACACTTTTATAAACTACTTTTTGATATCTACAATCATTAACACCTGAGTTCCCTTCACAAATTTTCCTTTCTTGATGTGGAGATTCTATGCATTCCACATACCCCCCAACTTTCACTTTGAAGAATGGTTTGGAATCTGCATCTTGAAAAATGGCAAATTTACAACAAGGCTAGTTGTTGAATTAGAGGACAATGCCATGAAGTCAAGCAAATGTAATCTAACAATTCAAGAAAGAAGCAACAGAGGATATATGATCACTACAACTAAGATACAGCGGAGAATAGACAAGGTGGACATAGGCAGCCTCTTTACATTGAGAAAATAGAATACGTCAAAATACAAACAAGTCAAAGAAGTGTCAAGAAGCCCCTGTACTTTGCTCCGGTGGTCTACACATGGAATGTACAGCATTTAACCCTTCCCAACTCTGTTTTATTTTAATAAAAAAATGCACTTAACTCACACAGTACTTTTTGCTTCCAACAGAATTGGCTACTAGATGTGTCACACTCTCGTGGAAATTGTTTGAATAGATTCCTGCCATCCTTTCAATCAGCCACTGGAGGTCTGCCTTTACGTCTTTTTCAAATCCTGTTGTGGTGATGACCAGACCTTTCATAGCAGTGTTGTGTATAGGTGAGGGGAGCTCCGGTATAGGCTCTTTGCGATGGATAGATGACAAAATACAACGAGGCCCCAGTACCCTGCTGAAAGAAACAAGATTAGAATGGGTTATACTATACAGCAATATGCTAGTCATATCACTTTAAATAAAAAGGATGATATATACTGTAGTGTGCTAGATACTTTACCTTCATTATCTAAATGTCTCCATTTATTTTTATTGAGGCTTTCTCACCTCATGAAAGTAGAGAACAATGAAACAATATTACTGTAATGATAATACAGAAATCCAGAATACTGTCACAGTATTTTATTCAAAGCTAATAAGGTAAATACAAAAACGTGTTCTGCTGTGTGTGTGAATTCATAGTCCTCCAAAGTAATTTCTACAACACTTTCTTTTAAACAAGCTTATCTACTATATATACTTATGATACAAAGATTACCACTTGATTATACTCACACACACTTAAAGCCACTAATGAGGTATTCGAAAGCCTTTCCTTCAAAAGGATCACATATAAATACATCCTGTTTGGTAGGAACCAATTTTAGGCAGTCTTCTGTTGACAACCATGTGGAGCTTAAACCATTATCATGGCATGCCTGAAAAATATTTTCAAGTGTATATATGGCATGAAGCATCATAATACATGCACACTCTAAATTACCATGACACAAAATATACAAAATTTCAAAGATAACAGAGTGGCTTGTCTACCATTCTATTCAATAACTGATGAAGAGTCATGAAATACAAGAGAATGTTTCCATATGTTTAGATAAGAGTTGCTTGAAAGTTCAGTCTGGAGCATCAGTGGAGCATTCTTAACCCTAAACAAATGCCAAACAGAAGATATCAAACGAATGAATGGAGCTTTACCTAGTTTATAGACCGTGCAAAATAAAAAAAAAAACTTGTTGACATTTAATCATCCATATTACCTGATAAGCACAGAGCAGGCCAGTAGAGCATGTTGCTTCAGTCAACCCAGGAGGTAGAACAAAATATATGGAGATACTTCCATCCTGTGAGCAGACACTAACCTCCATGTTAGAAACAAACCCATACTGTAAACAAAAACCAAAAAAAATTGTCAGGCAAAAATATATAATGCATAGGCTGATACAAATAAACACTTATTTATACATGCATGTTAGTGCAGAAGAGTAAGCTGTTTCAGCTGGTTTTCCGAGCCACCCAACAGTGTAATCAGAAATGTTGAAAATTTGTATTGAAGTCATCAACCTTCTGTGTTAATTTTGGCTAAGGACAAGATGTCTGCTTTTTGTCAAGGTCCTTTAATGGTGAACATTTTGTCCCTCCGTGGTTGCATCATGCCCTCTTTTCTGTTGTCAATGTACAATGTTATCTGTATGATACATACCGTACTCAAGTTTCCAAGCTGTGCTTCTCTGTCTATCCCATTTTCCTTTCAAAGACATGAAGGAAAGTCTCGTCTAGGAACAAGGTGAGGCTTTCCGAGGTTATCCACCGAGTGATTAGGTGATATTATTAATGCTTTCTTTGCTAATACTATATGTGTAAGGGTAATATTCAGACTCGGTATTTCTGCAGGTATGACTGCATGCTGGCTGCTCATTACCTATTCACCTAGTTCACCTAGTATTCACCTAGTTGTGTTTGCGGGGGTTGATCTTTGCTCTTTCGGCCCGCCGGTTACCTGTTGGATGTTCCCTGTCCTTGGAGAACATAACATTTACAGCACAGTGGTCAGAGAAGTCAGCCAACAGGCATAAGATTCCAGGTTCAATTCCAGGCATTACAATTGGCACAGTCTGTAGGTGTTTGAGCAAGCTCATTACACCTGATGCCTCTGTTCACCTAGCCATAAGTATGTATCTAAAAGTTATACAACTGTTGTGGGTTGCATCTTTAGAGATCAGTCACTGGCCTAAGGAAACCTCCATAAGCAAATGTCAACAAAGTCATGTCACACAGTCAAAACGTCGCAGGTTTAATTCCCATGGCAAGACATGAGGTGTTTCACCAATATTTTCTTTTCCCTGATGACAAGCAACAGGCACCTGGGAGTAAGCAGCTGTTGTAGGTTGCATCCTGGGGAAGGTTAGTAGTTGATATCGGATGACCATGATAAGCTTAACAGCTTTTCTGACCCCTGGTAGGGATGAGAGGAGAGGTTAAGCATTACAATTGGCACAGTCTGCCAATGGGTCAATGTCTACTCTTAACTTGAATACATACACAGACTGCATTCATATATTTTTACTTCGTAAAGTAATAATGCCGCCAGCCGCTGAAATAAGCAAATAAATTGATAAATATTCTCACCACACAACCAGCGACGTTGAGTGTTCTGACAAAACTCCTCTAAAAGAATATTCCTGCAAGTTACCACTCCACTTTCACTATTTCAATATTTAGCTAACACAAGTGGCATTAGAAAATGTCTGTTCATGACACGTAGCGAGTGTGGAGAAGGAGCAGGTTACGTGAAGATGTTCTTGAACTTGTTGGAGTGTCAATGTTGTGATTGGCGCCGCACCGGACCTGCTCAATGGTTCTCTTCTGGGGAAGCAACAGATGTCACAACAGTACGTCACTATACTAGGCCTATTGCATGACTGACAGGTGCATAATATACATAGTGGTACTTAATTTAAATAGTTCTAGATTAATTTCTTGGCTAAAAAAAGTTTCGTAAGCTATTATATACTGTATATACTATTATATACTTTCTCGTCCGATCAGCGAAGTTAAGCAACGTTGGGTTTGGTTAGTACTTGGATGGGTGACCGCCTGGGAACACCAAATGCTGTTGGCAATAATGTTTATGCCCGAAACGCTTTGCGTAATAGTGGCTTTAGGCATTGTATGTACTAGCTATACCTATAAGTCAAACAATCCTTGTAAATATTTATTGTATGTATGTACCTTACCTAAATAAAATTGTATTGTATTGTATTGTATTGTATATGTTAAAACTGTCCTCAGGAAGGAGATCCCCTCAAGGGATTGGATTGGGAATGACTACATAATTTGTGGTATTATCTACTCTCTATCTCTCTATGGTTAGCGTAAGTTAAAGTTACTTTAGGTTAAGTGTCCTTACATTTAGTTACATTAACATGGAATTCGAAAACATTTCAGTGTTCCCGCTAATTCTACTTACAGAAAACCAACTTCTTCGCAGAAAACGTTTCAGCATATTATATATCTTATATATTTTAAACCAACGATTTCTGTTACATTAACATTATAACTAAACATTATAACTAATCTCTTTGTTTACGACAAAGGCTCATATGCCAGTTTACATATAGATTATTACTAGAACTGTGATATGCTTTCAGACCATCACATATATCTAGATAACTATTAAGGTGGTTAGGGGAGTATGGAAGGGGGAGGGGTGGTTTCTCATAGTAATGGATTTCGTCTGAGCACGGGCTCCCTAAATGAAAATGAATCTGGAGAAATGTGATGAGTGGGGTACCGCAAGGTTCCATTTTGGGGCCAACCCTTTTTGTCATATATATACATCAATGACACAGATGGGAATATTACAAACCACATCATCAAAGTTAAACGTGCCACTATAAGATTTATGGTAAAGTGCAAAGTGATAATGATAAGGAGACCTTACAATGCGATCTACACGAACTTCACATCACGACCCAGAAGATACAGAGTTACGTAACACAAACAAAGAGCAGTGGTTTCAAGCTCAACAAGCAACAATGCACAACGATTGATTGATATTTTTGTACTTACAATGTACCTGTAAACATTTCTTTAATTTTGCTAGAAATTACCTTCTTAAGATTATATGTTAGATTAAGGATCTGCCCGAAACGCTATGCGTGCTAGTGGCTTTACAAGAATGTAAAACTTCAAGTCTCTGTACTCTCATGAACCCAATGTACCTTCTTGTATATAAATAAATAAACAAATGAAGAGTAAGCCACCCAAGAGGTGGCATATGGGCATGATGAATAGCCTTGTAAGTGGTAGATTTTTTGAGTGAATCTTTGGTCGTGATGCACTACGGAAAACACATACTTTTCACCCATAGAATTATAAACCCATGGAACCGCCTACCCGCCGAAGCTGTGAATGCCAAAACTCTGGTGAATTTTAATTTAATTTAAGGACAAACGGGGAGAGGGGGATCTATGACAAGCCGCCTGCTTCCTGTTATCGTCGAGGCTGTTAAATATAGTGGTCCTCGGGTAAATAATTATTATTATTATTATTATTATTATTATTATTATTATTTATTATTATTATTATTATTGTTATTATTATTATTGTTATTATTATTATTATTATTATTATTATTATTATTATTATTATTATTATTATTATTATTATTATTATTATTATTATTGTTATTGCAATATAATGATAATAATTTTTATTGGAAATAAGAGGAAGGGAGAAGTGAAGGAACCATCGGCCACCACAATAACAAACAACTCAACGCACGTGGCGACCCGGTAAATTCTCTCACGGTTGGTGTGGCCACTTATAATAACCTCTAGAGGAGTGATGAATATAACCTCTAGAGGAGTGATGACCAAACCACACACCATAAGAGGAGGAGACGACGACGTTTCGGTCCGTCCTGGACCATTGTCGACTTGATAATGGTCCAGGACTGACCGAAACGTCGTCGTCTCCTCATCTTAAGGTGTGGGTTTGGTCATCGTCTGCCTCTGGAAGATTGTTAATACACAGTAATCGTAATCCTAAAAAATTGTATTAAATTCAGCATTAGGTCGAATAATTGTGTAGGTGGGAAGGCGAGTGAATTTGGGTAATACATGGGGAAGAGTCTTTCCCATACTGAATATACATATACATTGTGTGTGTGTGTGTGTGTGTATAATAATAATAATAATAATAATAATAATAATAATAATAATAGTAAGTTATCTTGATATCTTGTTTACGGTCAGATACCTTCAATGGAAGAAAGAGATACACAAATAATTTACCAACTGTTCATTGGCCCCTCATCTCCAGTGTCTTTTTTGGCTAGCGATGCAAGTTACATCATACCTAAGATGGTTCGGCTGTGGGTTTAAAAACCTATGTAATCTTGCTCAACCTTAATCTAACCCAACCTACCTGAGCCTAACCTGAATAATATGCAGTACTGTACAGTATATAGTTTTGACATTCACGAAATTAACTTGTGGAAGGTTGGCCTGTCAACATCATTGCTGCTCTTCAAGCAACTATAACCTAATGCAACCTAACCTAGTCTGGCCTGTTTGCTGTTCTTGAATTTAAAGGTGTTTAATATAATTAAATTAACAAAATCTAATTCTGCCTTGTTTAAAGAGGTGCATCAATTTGAAAAGATAAAGCCAAAAAAGGTTACACATAAATGAAGTCTTTGGTATTAAGAATGCCTCCTTGCTTTTTTTGCATAGCATATACAGGTACTGTACTCAAAAAGCATAATCAGAGCACTGAATTTTTTAACTTATTTACCTACCCACCTTTTGTTTAAAAATTATTTCAGTAATCATTTCCATAATCTGATCTGTGACCACACCAGTGTATTAGCAAATATATTTTGGCTTGTGGGCTGCAAGCAGTAACCATCTACAGTATTTGATTTTTTCTCAGAGCAACCAGGCCTTGGCCAATGTTTTGTGTATAGCAGAAATAGATTTTCTTTTTACTCTTACCTGAATTTACCTGAGGATCACTAACCTAACACAATAGTGGTCCGTCGAGGAAAGGAAGTCGGCGGCTTGTCAAGGATTCCCTCAGTTGCCCTGATGATTTTTGCCAGCTGGATTTTAAAATGTAAAAGTTTTGGCATTTATGGCTTCAGCACATAGGCAGTTCCTATGGGTTTATTATCCTGTGGGTGAAAAATTATCTTGTTTTCAGTCCTACAGTGTGGCTTGCTGAGCTTGAAAGTGTTGCTTCTTGTTTGTGTTACATCTAACCTTTTGAAGAGACTATGGATCAACATCCTTCAAATTGCTTAGTACAGTATTTTAAAGGTTTCGTTGAGATCCACCTTTAGATTCCTGGTTTGCAGTGTTGTTAGCAGTGCGCACCTCAACTGTCTCTGGTACGAGAGTTGAATTAGGTCTGGAATGATTTTTGTTGCCCTGTACTCTCTCCAAAGCAGCTATGTCTTTCTGAAGATGAGATCTCCATGCTTGGATATAATAATCCAAGTTTGGGAGGGGGGGGGGGGCACCAGAGATTTATACAGTTGAATCACCCCTTTCTTTTCCTTAACGTCAAAGGTACACTTCATTATTCGTATGGTCTGGTTATCTTTTTGTTACTGCTGCTCTTACGAGTTGTGCAACTTTCTGTGAATTATGGATTTTAACTCCAAGATCCTTTTCTCCATCAATCTGCTGCAGGGTAATGTTATGTACAGTATTTAGTACTGTAGTTGTGACATGCAAAGTCTTTATATTAAAAATCATATTTTTTACATGTGCAGTACTGTAATCCCCTTATACCATTTAGCAGTACAGTACATTTCCTTGTTGTATTTATGTTTGACATTGAAATATCTGAATAAATTATCATAGTATTTATTTTGCAGGTTAAAAAAAGATAAAACAATGAAAGTTGCCAATGTCAAGCAGTCAGCCCGAGCTGCATATATGGAACAGGTATGATGTAGTTTATTAGTAATATTTATTAATTTGTTATTTATACTACAATACTGTACTGTACAAGAAATATGACAGTTCCAGAATCATGATTCTACATTTTCTGATTTTAAAAATATTGAATTTAGTATAAAAGAGTCTAGTGTAACATTCTTAAAAAGGATATTATGTTGAAGTGTTTAGTTGGTAAAAAAACTTATTATTACACCCATCCCATCCATACCTTTCTTCTTGTTCTTACCTTTCGTCTTTCTCTTACCTTCCTCTAGGAATTACTTCCTCTTGCCTGTTCCTCACCTCACTCTTGCCTTACTTAATGTTCTCCCTCACTCCCATTACGGGCTCGTCATGCCCGTGCCACCTCTTGGGTGGCTTATTCTTCATCAATCAATCAATCTCACTCTCATCACAATCGACTTGATAATGGTCCTGGACAGACTGAAATGTAGTCATTTCCTCATCTTCTGGTGTGTGGTTTGGTCATATCTTTAGCCACGTTATTGTGACTCGTCGTCAGCCTGGTACTGTCTCGTGTCCCTGGTATGCCAAACAGAACTTCCGTGACTGATGATCTTTCAGCTAGCATGCAGCAATCTCGGCAAGATAGCTTCAGGGATGCACCAGAGGCACCTCCGGAAAGAGGCATTTCATTGCACTTAATGCTGGGTTTATTATGTCAGCGTACAGTATTTGTATCATTCTTAGTGGGACTAAATTTTTCGGTGATCAGATAAACCACATATAGTTTCAGAAAATTATTTGGACACAAGTTATTTGATCACATGATATTGATATAAAAACACTATAGAAAGTATTTTTTGGTTATCTACTTTTTGTATTTTTAACAGGCACTTCAGATGAAGAAAAATAAACAAAAATTTAAGAGACAACCTAAAGTAAGAAAAGGCAGTGATAAATCACAAAAGAAAAAGGAAGTAAATGTGCCTTCGCCAACACTAGATATGAATACAAATAATGCTTTAGTAAACAAAAAACCTAAACTTAAATCCAAAGTCTCAAAGACATTGTTGGAGCAAAAGGGAAAATCTCTCAAAGCAAAGAATAAGCAACTTGCTGAAAATTTAGTGAAGAAAAAGAAAAATAGCCCAAAAAAGGTAAACACTGACAATTTGAAAAAGCAGTTAAATGGCTTTGCTCCTCTCACAAATGATACAACATCCTTCACAAATAAAACAGAAAGTTTAAAGGGTAAGACAAATACGCCAGAAAAGGCAAATGTTGACAGTTTGAAAAAGCAGTCAAATGGCCTTGCTTCTCTCACAAATGATACAACTTCCTTCCCAAATGAAACAGAAATTTTGAAGACTGCAAAGAAAAGGAAACAAAATACAGAAGGTGAAGTACTTGAAAAAAAAATAAAAAAGAAAAAGAAGGCAAACCCAAAGAAGAAAATGATGCTTATTGCTGCTGTAAAAGAAGCCCTACATGCTGAGTGCAGTGGAGAAGACCCTGAGGAGGATAGTGTGACAATTGAGCCCTGTAAGTAAATTTGTGAATTTTTTCAATAATTCAGTTTTATCTTTAAAGCATGCAATGCCTTAGTTATAACCAACTGTTTGAAATTTGTGCGTATCCTGCTTTAAATTAGGGCTTCCCAAACTTTTTATGATCATTATCCCTTTTTCATTTAGCGTCCATATTAATGGCCTCTACATTCAGTAAAGGCCCTCTCTGGTATCTTCTAGTATCATAACCTGTACACTGCCTCAACTTTAATTCCCTGTACATATTGCTAAAAAAAAAAAAAAAAGCCTCCCATGGGACCATGGCCCCCAGTGCTTCATATGATCATAATCGTTCGGCTTTTCCTGCCACCAACTTTAAATTTAATACGGTAATTATTTTTAAGTTAATATGCGGAAAAATATTAAGTTAATATATAAGCCATGTGTGGCACGCATGCTTCTTAGAGTAGTGTCTTTTCTCATTTAACACTGTCACATTAATTTCAATGATCACATGACATTGGGTGGCTCATAAGAGGTTGCTAATATACAATAATTAGAAAAGTAAAAAATCCACATTAAATTTACTTAGACATTGTTGGTACTGGATCTGTTTGTAGACAAATATTTAGTATGAATACAAATCCAATACAACAGTTTAAGAAACTAAGTAGAATACTATACAGTATTATGTAGTAAGTGCAATATTGTAGAATATTGTATCATTTTTATCTATTAAACTAGGAAGTGTTGTTAACTTGAAAGGAAATTTTAAATTATTACTTCTACATAAGTTAAGAACAGAGGCTTTTTTTTTACCTGTATTTTACAACAAAATTTTTTCTACAGTACAGGTACTATGCAATCAGAATAAAAGAGGTTATTACACATCCCTAATTATTTAACACCTTACAGCAGTAATGTGTGATTTCCATTGTTACTGAGTTACTATACTTTAAAGTTATTCAAAATAATACAAATAAATTTTTCCTATTTTGTTTCAATAATATTAGAGTATTAAACGTCCTTGTGTTCATTTTTCATCAAATGTTCACACCTACTACCAAATTTGATTTGCTTTTGAAAAATGGTTTAAATAAATTATATATTGGAGCTAATGTATTTTGTCATGTGTTTTATTCAGATTCTTAATTTGCAGTGTCTGGGGCAGAAATTGGTGCTGTTAATATTGATGATAGCAATGAAGAGGGACTAAAGGCTTTTCAGTGGGTAATCGGCCCTTGCTCAGAAGAAAAGTTCTTCAGGTATCGTAGTCTGTGAAACTTAAAACCAAAAGGATTTATTTAATAGCAGTTTTATCATATTGAAGCTTATGTATATACAGGATTTAAACTTCTCTTCTCGAACTAAGTTTATTTAGGTATCTATCATAGGGGTTTCAAATGTTAAATATTCATTTACATCTGTCTTTGCAACAATAAGCACAAAATGTAGATGATGATGAGCTAAAGCAATTGTACTGGGTAGATATTTTATTTACAGATAGTATTTGTTATGTATACAGATTTTATGTTAGCTCAAACAAATCACACACCTTGACCAATAGGAAGATTCATTGCATATTCCCAAGATTTTCTCTTTAAGAGCACATTCTGCAATTCACTCTTGGGGTCCAGCATCACTCCTTAAGTCCGCTAGGCAGAAAGTATGGAAGCAAATCCACAACCACACTGTTGACATGTTGGGTACTGCCACCTGGCAGAGGCAACAGGTACCTTACCTTGAAGTTACCTTGAGGTGCTTCCGGGGCTTAGCGTCCCCGCGGCCCGGTCGTCGACCAGGCCTCCTGGTTGCTGGACTGATCAACCAGACTGTTGGACGCGGCTGCTCGCAGCCTGACGTATGAGTCACAGCCTGGTTGATCAGGTATCCTTTAGATACCTGATAGCTTTTGTCATTGATGAGAATTTCTCAGTACTAATTACGGTGCCCTCTACAACTAGCAATTGAAGGGTGGGGGTGATGTTGAGGATAATTTTCCTCTCACTGTATGTTATAGTGATAACTTGAGTCATCATCTCAGTCTCAGTGATGACTCAAGTTATTTGCCATTATCTCTCTGCCATCATAATCCCAGATAAAACCATACATATCAGACTTTGGGTGACTGCTATGAGTCTATAGTTGAATCTATGGTTCAATGAGTCCTAGCTCAAGGGAGCATCTGAGGGATCTTGGCTCCAAAAAATGCATAACGTATGGATTGGAAGTTCTACAATAGTTTCTTTAACTTTACAAAGTGCATGTAAGAGAAAATTGGTTAATATTAACTTTACATTTAGCATGATACATGAACAGTGCAACAGTAGGTGATTGAAGGGCATGCTATTATGAATATCACATCCTATTGAAGAAAGTTTTGTATAACTTAAAACATCAGTGTGGATATTATAAAAAGCTAATGCAAAATAAATTAATGTTGAAAAGCTTGAAAGTGTTTGCATGTTAGTTGTGTTGGATTAGCATCTGTTTAGAAAATAAGTGAAAGTATATGGTTATGTAAATGAATATTAAATTTTAACATCTTACAGAGACTACTGGGAGAAAAAGCCATTGCACATAAAGCGCAGTGATGCACAGTATTACAAAGGTTTATTCAGCACTGATGTTCTCGACAATATTCTACGTGAGGTGAGTTTAGGAACAAAATAGAAGTAATGGTATCTGACAATTAAATTCTCCTACCACTCCTAGCTAAAAACCAAAATGCGGAAGCTAAAGGGTAGAACTACTGTAATTTTAAAATAATTTTTTTTAATGCCGTACATATTAGTTTTAAAAATGTTTTTATTTCCAATGATTCATGCATGTGAAATTAGTTAAGCGTAAATTTTGTTATATAAACAAAATACTTTAATATTTTCTGTTGCTGTTACAGAATATGGTACTCTACACTAAGAATTTGGACATTACATCATTTAGCAATGGAAAAAGGGAAACCCATAACCCCATTGGACAAGCTCATCCACCTGTTGTGTGGGACTATTATAATAATGGATGTAGTGTACGGATGCTGAACCCTCAGACTTTCCACCGTCCAGTGTGGAAATTACTGTCGGTGTTGCAAGAATATTTCAAGTCGTTCTGTGGAGCTAATGTGTAAGTTAGAACATAATGTTATTGAGCTATTCTGATTTACATCCGTTTTTGGCAAGTCTTCACATTATATTTATTTAAACTTAACTGAAATCAGGCTTTGAGTGAATATGAAAAGCTGTTTTCCTACCTAGATACACCTTGAGGCAGCATTGCTGAATGTACTGTCCCAATGGACAGACTTTTGATGATGATGATATTAATAATAAATCTACTTTTGATCAATATTATTTTACAATATGTTGTTTTGCATCCTGTGACAGCTAAGTCAGTGCTTAATCTCATATGCTTGTCTTTAATACTGTATTCTCATTTAACCCATATAGTTAATAGTTTTTTTTGTTTTGTAGTTATCTCACTCCCCCTGACACTCAAGGGTTTGCACCTCACTGGGATGATATTGAAGCCTTCATTCTGCAGCTCGAGGGCAAGAAGCGATGGAGAGTGTACAAGCCAAGGTATGGGTGCTCGCTTGAGGCAGTTTTGCTGTACAGTATATCATGTTTCTTTTCTTTTTAATAGATGGAGGAGAGGGTGATTAAGTACATAAGGAAGACAAATAATAGAAGATTGTTGGTGTATGACTTCGTTATTTGCTAAGGATGGGGAAGAATACTTTTCTACTCCTGAGTTATATATGAAGAGAGATCAGGAGACAAAGAAAAAGACTATTTTCCCCACCATCCAGCTTATGCTGCTGGATAATAGTTTGGAAGTAGAGTAGCACCATGACATGATGAGAAAATGGCATGGAAATGAGGTGGGAAAGTAGATATAACTAGGCTGTTTTACTTCATGCTACAGTACAATCAATGCTTCAACAGCAATTGGTGGTGTAACTTCCATTAGGGATGCTCCTATTACTGCGTTCAATATTACTATTTCTTCATTAATATGGTATAGTATTCTGCTTCATGTTCACTGAATGTCGTGACAGGAGTTTAATTGACATTAATATACTTAAAATATGTATCCAGCCATATCTTAGAGAGCTGTGTTGTATTTGTAATTTTGGCATTGAAGAGCAATGTATTCCAGTGATCTAAATTCTGTAGGTAAAGAAATCTTGTTCCCTTGTCTGTATTGCATCTAATTCTCCAATGTTTTGTGCAATTATTTTTCAGTCAATTTTTTTGTGCCTTTCAAATATCTAGCTCTAAACATTATTATTATTGAGAACTACCAGTTATTAGATTTATACACTCACCCATAACATAGACAAGAGTTAACCTTGTACAGTATTTTCATTCTGCATAAGGTACAGGGAGAAATGTGACAGTTTGGAGGTTTCATAACGCAAGAAAGTAATCCAAAAGTGCTAAACCTATTAGCACATCATCGTGATCATTATGTAATTACCTAAGTGTAGTTACTGGATGAGAGCTACGTTCGTAGTGTCCCATCTTCCCAGTCCTCTGTCGTATAACGCTTTGTAACTACTGGCGGTTTTGGCATGCACCACCTTGCTTACCTTGTTCCAACCGTCTACCACTGTTTGCAAAAGAAAACTTTCCTAATATTTTTTTGGCACCTTTGTTTCCTTAGCTTGAATTTGTGTTCTTTTGTTTTGAAGTTGCTGGTTTTAGGAATTACTACAGTATGTCAATTTGGTCAATTCTTGTTTGCATTTTGTAAGTGGTAATCATATATTTTTTTCTTTTATCTTTGGCATATTTAACGCCTCTAGTCTCTCCTTGTAACTCTTGATTTTCAGTTCCAGAAGCCATTTTGTAGCATGCCTTTGCACCTCTTCCAGTTTCTTTATGTGGTTCTTGAGATATGGGCACCATACAACTGCTGCATATTTCAATTTTGGTCTCACAAAATTGAATGAGCAGTTTTTCTAGTATTTCACCATCCTTGTGCATCTGATGAGATATGTGTATGTTATGTAACATCTTATACATAAATAATTTTTCAGGTCAGAAAATGAAGAACTTCCTGTTAACTCCAGCCCTAATCTTTCTGAAGATGAAATTGGGGAACCTGTATTAGACATTGTTTTAGAAGAAGGCGACCTTTTGTACTTCCCCAGGGGTTACATTCACCAAGGTATTACAGTGGATAACACTCATTCTCTCCACATTACCATCTCCACTTACCAGAAGAACACCTGGGGTCACTTACTTAAAAAGGTGAGCTTTCCCCACAGTTTGTTATGGCGGGAGGATTGGGCATGTGGGTTTTGCCGAGTCTGTATACTTGTCTACTAATTCATTCTTACATTACATTCCAAGTGCTATATAGTCGTAATAGCTTTGTGCTTTCTCCTGATGGTTCTCTTCCCTTGTATTTAATTTATGTAGTAACCCTGCTGCCCATTGCTATGTGATGCAATTAGTCCTGCAGTGAATGGCAAGAAAATCTATGGATTTAAGGGGGGGGGGGAACTTGTCCAAGACCCAAAAAACTAAATTTGCCCATGTAGCTGTTTGAAATGTTAAGTAATTAAAATGGGTGGAGAAGCTGCAAGTTGTGGATGCATTCAAAGAAAGTTTGTTGTGCTATGTTTAGGAGTGACAAAACTTAAAAGTCGAATGAAGAGTGGAATGGAGTAAATATTGCAGGAGCAGAAGGCACACGAGTGAAGATTAGTAGTGGGCAGTGAATGCATTCTTTTGTTGTAGTTCAGGATGGCTGTGCTTGAAAGTCAAACATGACAGGGTATCAGTGGCTGTGGTGATTGTCTTTTGCACAACCAGTGTAATGATTGAAGTGGGATTAAAAACAAATTTTTCTGAATAGTTGTGAGGATGAGATTAGTACAATACTTCGATGCTTTGGAATGGTGTTCCTAACTCTTGTCTACCTGTTGTAATTTGTTTTTCCTATTTTGATTATTTTCATTATATCTTCCTAACAGTGTCACTACATTAGGCACCATACTGTCTCAGTGAGGTTAAAAGATCACACAATACATGTATATATTTAGGTATGCTTGGATGACTGTTCATCCCTCGTGGCTGCTGCTACTTGTGCATACAGTTTGTGTGTTGACACTTGTGTGTCCCAGAACTCTTTAGTGCTGCTGCTTCCTACTTTCTCATTTTCATCACTCTTATTCCGCTTCTCATTTCCCTCCCTTTGCCTTTAAGTGAAAAATTATATCCACTTTAATGCTAAATATGTGATGTATTCTTCATTTGTTTCCTTAATCACTTATTTTTGTTTGTAAATATGTGACATTTTTAATGATTCATTAAATATTTGGCAGCTTTTACCTCAAGCACTCAGTGTAGCCATGAATGACGACATAGAATTCAGGCGAGGTCTTCCCCGTGATTACTTGGACAGTATGGGAATTGTCAATATGGATAAAGATTCTCCTAGTCGAAGTGCTTTCATTGAGAAGGTTTGTGCACAGTACATGTTTTCACACTTATGTTTTCCAATAATAATTTTGTTTTAAAAAATAACATTTTCATAGATTGGTGTATTTAAGTGAGAGGAGGGGGCAGAAGAGACTAACATAACATTAAATGCCCTTTATATCTAATATAAAATTAATAGTTTTGTAAATAGATGAACTTCTATGGCCTTCACTTTACAATTGGCCCTTATTATTTTTATTATGCGGTGTATAGTAATGATTGTATTGTGCTATTATTATGACTTGTGTAAATGAATATTGTACATAGTTTTTGTAAATTAAATCAATTATACGTGTAATCATTTATGTATAAAGTTTTTGATTTGCATACTTCAGTGCACAGTACTGTATACACATGAAGTTAAAATACAGCAATTGGCATTTTCAGTGACATTTTCTTGTCAATATTTTGTCTTACAATTATATTTTTAGGATTTATGTTACTTGTAATTCACAAATTATATTAAACTAATGTTATATTTAGTCTGTGTAAGTCATTATTCTAATTTTAAGCTGTATGTTTTACCAATATAAATCTCACCACACTCAAGTGTTAGGTATTAGTTTTTACAGCTGTACTCCTGCTCACCCCAGCCTCAACTGTAATGTCTGTGTCAATCATTTGTGAATAAAGCTTCAGTCTAGAGCTTCAGATGAGCTTATGTTCGATAAAACCATCTTAACTTAGTTTATTTTAGAATATCGGTACCATTCCTAATGAACCAGTCAGAGAGAGAGAGAGAGAACGAACAGAGGGGGAGGGGGGAGGGAATGTGTTAGCAACCCATCCTCCTTCTAATATAGTACATATAATGACAATATAGTACTATCTTTGTCCAACACAATATATGGAATATTAATTGATACATTCTATAGAATTGCCAAATTTTAAATACAAACTGAAGACAATAAAAAGTGAATCAAACACATCGATAGTAAAAGCAGAATATCTCACCTAACCGTGTTTGTGTGTGTATGTGTTTGTCATATCTGTATGCCTGTGTACACATGTATGCATTCTTGATTGCTTGCTGGCTTAATATTTCTTTGTTTTACCTGCTGTGTTCATTTTACTTTTAACTCCTTCCTTTTTGTATTTAATGCACTGCTTTATTTGTAAATTTACTTTGTCAGGTAATAGTCCATATGTTGGACAAAGACACTTTTTGCTGTTAAATGTACTATGTTAGCAGGATGAAGAGTTGTGAGGAAATATTGCGAGGGATTATTTGCGAGAGACTGGAATATCCTTGCATCAATGGGAGAGTTTAGATTAGGTGCTTTAAATACCCTCATTTGTTTAAGAAAATGGCACACAAGTTGGTGGTGGTACCTGTGATGTCCTTATATGTATCTAAAATCTTTTATATTACAGTTGGGTGAATTAGTGACACGTCTGATGGAAATGGCTCCTGTTGATGCTGCTGTAGACCAGAGAGGTGCTAGTTTCATGCATGATGCTCTACCACCTCTGCTCTCACAAGGTGGGGTAAACCAAATGTTTTTAACAGGATATTATTCTTCATTGCATTTGCTGATGTGGTTCTTTCCTCTCACTATCAAGTAACATTTTTCACTGGTTAGTGAGCTTTCTTGTTTATGGGGTCCATGGATGGTATCAATATTTTTTTTTTTTCTTTGAAGATAATACAGAACCCTGAAGTGTTTTATTAGCAGTGAGTGTGAGGAGGGCTTTTCTGCTGTATTCCTGACAGTAATTCAGTCTGGCTGTGCATCTCTACTGTTTCCACAGAATAAGTATAACAGATACAAGCATAAAAAGTATAAGAGAGGACTGAGAAAACACTATACAATAGTGTATATTCATTGGAATTGTACTCCGTTGTCAACAAGGTTAACCATAACCTTTGAATAAGTTACGAAGTTGTTACTTCACACACATGCAGGTCAAGTCCCAAACTGAGCACGTGAAATTAAGCAATTTCCTGGTGTGCATTTAAAAAAAAAAAAAAATTTTTATAGTAACAATGCTTTCTGATGTTGGGGAAAAATATAAACAAAAATCTTATAATTTTAGTTTGGCTGTTGAGAGGTGAAGAAGTGTTGATGCCATATTTTGAGAAATAAACTTCTGTATTTGTAAATATGCTTCTCAATCACAAATATTTTCCAGGTTCATAAAAGTCCTTGAAATTTTGCACAGCATCATGGTTCCAAGCATGAGCATCAGTAAATGAATGATGATGAATTTGATATGGTGTTCATCTTTTTACTAAGGCCCAGGAAGGAAACTAAAGCCTTCAGCATTTTTTCTAATATGGCAAATGACAGTCAAAGATATCTAGTGTCGAATGACGTCCACATAGAAGCTTCAGACCCTTTGAATATTATGGAGCATGTCTAGTCTCCTACATATGATAGGTGCAATGACCTCTTATCACTTGAGGGTGACATGAACAGTTTAAAGAGGATCCATTCAGCTTTTATACATGTCTAGTGTGAGAACAGGCTATTTTATTCTTGCTTAACTGTTTTTGAGTTCATTTTGTAAATACTTGGCAGTAGGGCATTTTTTTTTTTTTTTTTAAGTGCAAGCCAAAGTTAAAACTAAGTCAGTAAAGCTCTTCTACTCGTATTCAATAGTCTGTCAGCATATTTAATTAGTTGCACATCTAGAAAAACACATTTTTTAGTTTGAATTTACATATGCACAGTGGTACCTTCATTTACGATCGTAATCCATTCCCAGAGACTCATCGTCAACCAAAACCAATTTTCCCATAAGAAATAATGTAAATTGAATTAATATTTTTTGGCCTGTGGAACGGATTAACTTAAAAATACATTTTATACAGAATAACACTCATTTTGTACAAGCTACAATACAGTACTGTATGTATATCTTACCTTGAATGAGGACTCTTGTGTGTGTATGGAAAATGGTGAGGAGAGGTGTTAGTGTTTGGAAGGGGAGTCCCTTTCCATTATAACATCAGGCAGTGATGACTTTTCTGGAGTACTCTCTCCTACATTTTGCCTGCATACCACTAGAACCTGCTTGTGGCTCGCTGCTTGTTTTTCTCACTAAAACCCTGTCTAGCGACACTTGTTTTTCCTTATGTTTTAACACTTGTCTATAGTGAGACATCACATTGTCCCACTATGAATGAATGATCTCTTGGTTTTTCCCCTCTATCGTCATCCTCACGACTATTTTCTTGGGTTGAAATTTACCACTGACTTTCTTGGGACCCATGGCATGATATATAATAAGAACTTATGTTTAGAAAAAGCAGGCAAACAATTAAATTCTTCACAAAGAAGTCAAGCGAGGCTGCGGTTGTCACTACGCGGGATAGACTTGTAAACACAGAGGGCCTCGCCCCGCGCCTCCCAGCACCACACGCTTGTTCGACTCGTACGTAAATGATCAGACATCGTCTTCCAAGTAAACCGTCGTACAACAATTCAAATTTTATGATGAATTTGATATCAACCAAAAAATTCTTACTTTAGGGCAGTCGTCAACCGAGGTTCCACTGTACTTATGGATAAATATTTGAAGGTAGGCAATTTTTGTTTAAAAAATTATGAGGTGGCCTTCACGAGGAAAAGGAATTAATTTTTATATTTTAATTTTCAATTTATTGCTTGACAGATGAGAGAGAGTGTAGTGTATATGGTGGTGGTGAACGGTGGTGTAAGAAGACGAAGGAGGTAAAAAATCGGGTAGAAATTGAACCAGACACCCCGATCAGACTCATCAGAAAAAACTGCTTAAGGTACTGTAATATTACTGGTGTGATATAAATTTTGATTTTTTAACTTGAGGCAGCTCTGAAAATCAATGAACTCGTGGCCCAGTTTGGTCAACAAGGCTTTTGATTACCACTGTAGTTTGACTAAGGAATCATAGCCTAATTGATCAGAGACCCTTGGGAGAGTAATTATATTTTGATTGGAAGTTGTCCCAGTCAGGGTTATAACAATGAACCTCGGAAATAAGAAATAGCTTTAAAGATATTTTGTGAAAATATGCATGTTATTTTGATTCAGGTTTAATTTGGTATAAAATTCAACATAGTACTGTATTTGGTGTACCCTTAATGCAAGTATCACAAGGTCAAACGAGAGGGGGGGAAACAAGTTAAGTAAAACACCCGAGAGTAGCAGCACATTAGGTGTACATAGTACATCTGGTGTTACAAAGTAGTGGTACTGCTATGTATGACTGCGAGTATTTTTTAATTCTTTTCATATATAGTACTGTAGTATCAATGGTATAGTGTATGGATGAGTAATATTTCTTAATTTTTAACTCCCCCCCCCCCCCCCCCTTTTTTTTTTTTTTTTTTTTATACTCTACATCCCACTTTCCTGAGGATGGAAATGTGATTGGGTGTTGTATATTGGATTCCTCAACATATCCAAAATTATTTTTAACAAATCTTTATTAGTTTCCTTGGAAAAATAAATTATTACAATATTCGATTCCTGAATTAAAAATAATTGATGTCCACAGAGTGGTTGCGGAGGAAGAGAATGTCAACGTTTATCATTGTTTAGAAAACACACGAGAGTACCATCAGGAGCAGCCACAGTTCATTGAGCTGGCTCCAGAAACTGCACCTGCTATTGAGGCTTTGATTCATGCCTATCCAAAATACATAACCGTCGAGTGTTTGCCTTTAAATGACGAGACTGAAAAGGTAAACAAAATTTCTATGATTTGTGTATAATGATAGTTTACTAAATACAGTAAAGAAATTGGTTTGTTTACCAAGTGATGTTTTCTTTCTACAGTGCTGGATATAGTCTTTATATTTTGTTATGCTCTGCCAGTTCCCTTTAGATATATTTTTACATATATATATTTTTTTTCCAGATGGCGGTAGCCAGTGGGCTGTGGGAACGTGGACTTGTAGTGACTGCAACGCCTTTGAATGCCCCGCATGATGACTAAAGGATTTTTGTAAGATCCAATTTAAAAATTGCAAACATTTTATTTTTCTTCTGGATGGTTGACTTTACAATTGGCAATAATGATGTTAGGCTGTTCTGAATTACGTATCTTTGGCTGGCATGTAATACTTTTTTGAAAGGGAAAGGGATGGCAGGCCTCGTGTGTTGTAATTTATATCACAACAGAATTTATTAACGATTTGTTTTGTCTTTGCAACATTTAGACTTCAGATAAAATGTAATTCATTATTGAGTAAAGTTTCTAAAATTTGGAGGCACACTAAAAACAGATGTATAACTATTCAGTGAAGCAATTGCTGCCCCATTTCATATTGTTTAGGGTGGCACCTTCACATAAAACCTAAGTATTTCAAACATGTTTTGGATAAGAGGCTGTGGACTTTTTATTATATAAAGTTTTTACTTAATCCTTAATAAATTATTATATTCAACAATCTTGTAGTAACTATGACCAAGGCTGTGAAATCCAAGTACTACTGCATTTTTTGTATTGTCAAGCTATCATTATTTTATTATGCTAGTTGCAATGTATTGTGGAGGATATTTTTTTTTTATTAAGTTAATTAAGCATTGACTAGGCCAATGAAATTACTGGAGTGTTTATTACTTGGTTGAAGCCGGCAAATGTTCAAAACTAAAAGTGGGTAAGTGGTACAGTATCACAATGGTGTTATATTTGCATTGATTGGATGTATTTATATAAATAATTGATGTTATGGATGTTGGATATTGTAGACTCCTTGCAGACATTTATTTAGGATTTAATATTGTACAGTACAATATGGCAAACTACACATGGAAAAAGCATTTGGTAGTAGTCAATATTGTTAAATAAGGAAATTATCAAATAAACTTTTAATAAATAATTGTAAAATTTTTGTACATTGTTTATATTTTGTTATCCATGCCTGAATGTGTTAAGAACAGTATGTTGCTTTTAACCCTAACAGTGCACTTTGGTTTGGTGTACAGGTCCTAATCAAAAGTGATTACAACTTCATGGGGCTTATGCAGGAAAATATGAGACGTACATTGTGGAATGTGTGCACACACTTGTGAAATACTTGCAGTAAATTGACTGCAGAGGAGAGCACCCAATTATCATACTGGCATTAGCCCAATGGCCCTAATAAATGTGACTGTTGACCTTGGTACTTCATGTGGCACTTACAAAGGAAATGTTGATTATAACACTCTTTGACAATGGTTTTAGTTTAGTTCATTTATTATGCACCCCATACCCATCTTGTGGGCGGTAGTGAAAAGGGTTAAAGAGGCACATAAATGGACTCAGAGACTGAACCCCACAATTCATTTAGCTAAGCAAGTTACAATCTTGATGAGCTAGTTACAAAATTCAATGCACATCGTCAGAACAATGGGCTTGAGACCAAACACAAGTACAGTTTCTTTATCAAGAAACTGACATGTGTGGAGAGCTGGTGTTACAATTGCTATGCTTGTCCTGCTTTGTTCCAGCAATATTTCTAATGCTTGCTGGGAGGGTGTTTTAACAGCTGTGGACCTCTGATGTTCAGACCATGTTCTCTGTGCGTATGGCATCTCTACTCTTCACTAGTGCTGCAAATGGATTTAGTTTAGCTGGACCTGTTACAAAGTGGGCCGAAGAACAATTGCTTCTGCAAGCCAAAGCACCATAACCACTTTCAATAGGTATTGCTCTAGCATGGATCAACATACAGGTATGTTGAAATGTGCAAAACCTTACGAGGGGAAAAAATGCAATCTAAGGTCCCAGACTTTCGCACGAAAGAAACAGAATGCTACACAATAAGTGGCAAACAGAAAAATGGCTTTGGAGAATAGTCAAATATTTTAGATTTGGAAGAAAGGTTTCAAAAGGTGGAACATAGGGAATGTATGGTACAGGAACTGGCGAAAGAACCATTTATATCTCAGTCACTGATACCATTACACCCCACAACAGAGCTACAACTACAAAGGCAAGAACGCTGTAACAACCAGTACTGGTTAGAACAAATCTGATATGCCAACATACAAGGACTAAAAACAGAGGCAAAAAACAAAATACCATTTATAAATGGTCTTGCAGAGGCAAATGCATTATTTGGAGCTTTCACAGAAATTCATGGACAGCAAGCACTGGATACCATAATATAATCTCTATAGATGTGATAGGGTAAGTCACATGGAATAGGTCTGTACAGTAAGAGTATGCTTGGAGCTTCTTAACTCTGCAAATGAGGTGTTAGAAGTACTTATGATAGAAAAAAAGTTATTCTAATATACAGGCCGCAGATGCAACGGTTGAGGAATTCACAGAACAAACAAAATAGAGAATAGCCTCGATAATCTGGCAGATGCAATATCAGATATTATCTTCCCTGGAGACTTCAACTTGCCCAGTTTAAGATGAATAATGTCATACTATGAAGTAACCATCCACAGATCAGAGGACTACTGTACTAAAGTTCTAAGACAAATTTGTGCTCACCCAGCAGACAACAGAGCCAACTAGGTACATAAATATTTTAGATCTTATCTTCACAAACAATAAAAAAAGAATAATCAGGGACATTACAATTTCAGATACCACATACTGATCGCAAGCTCATTGAAGTGCAAACATCAATACTCGTAACAGGTCCAAATAAATTGCTCATTCGAGAGGGTTTATTCATTAAATTAAATTTTAGTAAGAGGATAGAGACTGGGAAAAATAAACAGGAAACCTTCAAACAATGTAACCTGTCCATATACATGGGTAAGAATTGTGCTTGTGTAAAATTAGCCCCTAAACTTTATTGTGTTTCTTGATATTCCCAGCTAATATAATTAGAAGCATATCAGTAAGGTTACTCTTCCTGACTAGAAAAATAACATGAAGAAAGTACAAATATAAAAGTAAAAGAATTTCAAACAACATAACGGTGTCAAATGAGGATTGCGGTGTCAATAGTAGTACTGCTACTACTATCAGATCAACTACCGAGGGAATTTAATTTTTTATTTAATTCATCATTGTACAGTATTTGCATGCAAGAACATCAAGCCACATTACATATTGATTCATTATCAAATCAAAATATCTCCAGGGATCATCATTAACCACAGTACTTGTCACATTACAATAATAAACCATCATAATAGGACATCTGAAGAAGTGAAACTTAACAAAAAATGCCTTATACATAGTAAAATGTACACCACTATAGTGGCCAGGTTGTTGATGTCAAGAAACACCAAGATGCGAAACAAAATTACTAGTAATGTGTACATAACTTACAAATTAAAGCTGAATGTCAAGTTGGTCTTTTGCTACATTGTCAAAACTGTTCATTGAATTATTGGAAGTGAAGATTTAAAGAATATATGTTTGTTAAAATATAGCACAATAATCTACCTGCTACATTAAACATATACTAGTTAAAATTTCTTCAACGATATATACAGTTTGCAACGAGCTTTACCATTATGTTTTCAAAGAAATTGTCCATTATTCTATGATACAACCTCGGTATCTATAATTTTACCCCTGCATGCCCCCTCCATACTTTATGTTTATTTATTAAACTTAATTTTTTTAGTTTTTTAATAAATCAATATTTACTTTATTAAAACAATTACAAATGCTTGCTTCAACAAACTAAATAGATGCTGGGTGGATTAAATGCTGAAGCTTTGTTAGTTGCTTATGATTTTTGTGCCAGCGACACATTTTGGCTATAAAACCCACAAGGAATAATATTGCTATCAACCCAATTACAATTGTGACAGAGATGATTAAGTAACCTCTCCAACCGTAACTTTTTAAATATCCTTTTACTTCTCGTATTAGGCTAGGCTCTTCGGTCTTGACTAAAGAACCTTCTAATTTGTCTAGATTAGGATCATTGTTGTTAAACTGGTCAGAGCTGATGTAAGCGACGAAGGAAGCTGAATTATCATCGTGACCATTCTGCCGTTTCTTTAGCCGTTTACCCTCTTTATGCTCCTCAAGTAAGCCTATATCGTGCACCTTTCTTCCTCCACTGCTGGTATGATTCTTATCTGCATTAACATTTGTGGGTTCTTCAGTTTGTTCATATTTTAGACTGGCTACATACGACACTAAAGAATACAACACGTGAAGAGCATTCATTTTATTGAAATTTTTATTTTCTATAATACTATCATTATGTTGATTCATTTTTGTTTTCAGATTTATTTGCTCATGTTCTTGATTTGAAACGTATGCCACAAGTGAATACAGATTGTAAAGTACAGTTATTTTTTTGTAATCATTACCAAGTGCATGAGTTTTCTTAGCTTTGGAGGTATATACTACTAAGTCACTAGTATTGGCTGATAATTGTTCTTCCTTGGCTGGGGTCTTAATTGCATTCTCATTTACTTGGAACTTTCCCATGGTTTTACTATTATTCTCAGTGCCACCTAAAAAGCTGGATTCCTTTTTTTCTATGATGTCATGATTACCAGACAAAAGATCATATATGCTGTACACATGTGCCGTGACATATTTATTTTTTTTGCTTTGGTTGGTTGCATTTATATTAGATTGCATTTCATTATATTTGCCTTTTACATGCTGGCTCATAGATGAATCAACTTCAGTGTAAGATGATTGTTCATGATCTTTGGCATCCTGTAACCGAAATTGCTCTTCGTAAATGGTGGTTTGAGTGCTACGTTGATCCTGTTGTATCACAGAATATTGAGTTGTAATGGTTGTTGAATTAATTAGCAGCAGTTTTGATGTATTAACTTGTACCAATGAGCCTTGTTTTTCTTCGCTGAGGCTTTGTGGCCCAAGTGGCTCTTTCATAGTCTTTGTATAGTATACGACTCTTCCCAAAGATTCTTGCTCTCTGCGAGAGAGTGTTTTTTGCACCTCGGGCTCTGGGATGACAGTCATCTTGGGTGTGTCATCAAATGTCAGATTATACAGCTCTGATTTATTTTCATTACTAATGGGTACTGCAAAGGCTTGCCATCTTCCCAACAGTGTTAGTGAACCCAGGGTTACCACAACATAGATCATCATTTTTCTGCAGAGGAAAACAAAATTATCAGACAGCTGAAAACATTTTATACAAGCTAACAGACATGTAGAAACATTCATATTAATTTGTCAGCACATGAATGCATATTTCTATACACCAACACAAGATACATTATACCACATACAATAGTCAGGGGGCTGACATTTATGCATACAAGATTGTCAAGAGAACAAAGATATCTGAATGGGTAGAACATGAACATTGGAAAAGAAGTGGAAACTAAATACCTGAATAAGCCACCGAGGCATTAGAAAGAATTTTGTGTCAATAATTTGTGTTATAGATTGTCCCGTCAGCATGGTCCAAATGTCTCCAACATGTTGGGCCCCAAACTCGGTTTATAGCTGAACAAACATATAATCTTTATGGGTTGTTATCCAAGGATTAATTGCAAGTCACATGATGCTAAGATCCCACTGAAACTTAACTATATTCACATGAAAACAACTAGTACAGAGTGAAGTTGCACTGGTTACCCTCAAACTGTGCCAGAGAAATTCTCAGTTATAATATACAGGTCTGGATGGGTAGAAAAGCACAGGAGAAACATTAAAGGTTCAACTAATCACCAATAATTACCTTACCTGGCTAGCTAAATGAAATGGTAGCAAAACTTAAGACAAACTAACACATTGTAAAATCATAATTACACCAAGAGCACAGCATATAATTTACTTTAGGGAACCGACTAACCCTTCCCTCTCGGCGGCATGCTACTTGGAAAAACTTAATACTTAACGTACAAGAGAGGTGTGTTCCAGGATTTCTATCTAGCCCACTGAAGTTTGAGAAGGGAAGTGGGGCAGCTATAGCCCCCTATCCATTTGTTGCCAAATTTACATAATTGACAATTGCAAGCAGATTTACTATTTAATGCAACCTTTTATATTTCCACTAGCTAGTAACAATCACCTACATGCATAAGAAATTTATACAGCAACAAAACATTAGCCCCCAATACTTGATATTGGTCTTAAAATCACAAATCCCCTTAAAGAGGGCCAATGGGGCCGACCCCAACCCACCTATGAGTCCCCCACCAGCCACACTTCCAAATTGAAAGAGGTTTGCTCCCAGGCGTCTGGCCTCCAACCTTTTAAAGAAAAGCAAACGGATCCTATTTTATAATCCCATTTTATAAGAGATTAAAACTGAAGCTATCATAACATTTCCTTTGGTGCAAAGCCAGGTAGGACCCCAGGCAAGGGTTCTCAAACTGGGCATGCGTAACAATTCCCCCCCCCCCCCCCTTCCTTGGTGCTCTCGTGTTTATATATTCCAAGATTGTTCTACAGCTGCATATATATATCATCCAAGTGCCCTCCAGACACTTGGAAGTGATATATATGCAAGAACAATCTTGGAACACGAAAACACAGACACACACGTTAGAAAGTTTTATTTCAGCCTGAGGGTAGCGAGTAAATGAAATGACCTAAAAGACCAGGTTGTAGAGGCAAACTCAATTCACAACTTTAAAAGCACATACGATAATTAAACAGAAATCATTTCATTAGATAACCGGCGGCTAGAAAAACGGTATTCAAGATCTAGAGCTCTATCCTGTAGGCACAAATAGGTGAGAGCAAACACATACACGAACACCCTAGTAACTAGTTCAAAGGTCATAGACAGAAACTGGAGACGCAAAAGAGGCAGACATCAGAAAGAACCTTTTCAGTGTTAGAGCTGTCAATAAATGGTGTATACAAATACAAATATTTATTAAGGTAAAGTACATACATACAAGGTGAGATACAAAGTTGATGGATTTATAGATAGAGGTAGTACATACAATGCCTAAAGCCACTATTACGCAAAGCGTTTCGGGAAGTATGTTAGATGGAGTCTTCGTTGAAGCTAATTAGGTTCAAAATTTTAAATGTAAATATGATAAAAGCGTGAGAAATAAGTCATTACATTAATCTAGGAACGTTCAAACGGCGGGGCTAAGAGCCTAGCTCGACTCTGCGGGCACATCTAGGTGAATACCCTCGAATACGCACTACATCCACCTCGGAACATACATACATACACACACTACAACAATAAGAATATTCACTTTCACAAATAGAGTGGTAGACTGTTGGAACAAGTTAGGTGAGGTAGTGGTGGAGGCCAAAACCATCAGTAGTTGACGGTCAACTACTGTCAGTAATCTGACAGTAGTTTCAAAGCGTTATATGATAAAGAGTGCTGGGAATACGGGACACCACGAGCGTAGCTCTCATCCTGTAATTACACTTAGGTAATTACACACACAGACACAACCTTGGAACACACACACACACACACACACACACACAACCACCTCGGGACACACACTCACTTTCAAATATGATAGAGCCCAATAGGATGAGGAATCTGTACACCAGTTGATTGACAGACGGGACCAAAAAGTCAAAGCTCAATGACTGGATACCATATTAAAGTATCCTTTAATACCTTTTAATTGAAAGCAAGCACAACTATCATAGCGCAACTCGTACAAGCACAACTAAACGAGTTGTGCTTGTACGAGTTCAAACAACAACCACCTCGGAACACACAGACTAGACACCCTTGCCATATATAAATACTGAGTAACCTTGTTACAAACAGTAAGCATCTTTCCCAACTTTTCGCCACCTTCCCCTTATATGGGGCGATACATACATTTAATTAAGTTGCTTTGTTACGATCCATCGTAATGTTAGCCTTTGCATCGACCCCTCTCACAAAATATTTGCCAAAGACTGTGCTTATTTTTAATAAACAAGAACTACGTGTTCAAACTATCGACCGCAAACTGGCCATTGATCATAGCCTCGTGTCAATACGATCCCATGGGGGTAGAAATAGCCTAAGCTACTCTATCCCTTTGAGATGTATTTTTTCTTGTCTCAATAAACATACTTGAAACTTGAATACGATCCCTAACAGCCGACATGCTGCTTTTTGGTCGAAGTCGGACACAAAATACTTTATTTTGCAGGCATGATAATGTTGTCTTTCAAACAACTGATAGTGTGTTTGACGAATCTTACTTTCTGTGAAGACGACAGATAAATAGAGAACCAGAGACCGTCACTAGAGAACTACCTTCCTTGCACATCGCTCCTACTTTGCTCTGAAATGTTTTCCATTGATGTAAACAGTACAAATTAAAATTGTCTACTTCAAGTTTTCGGTTCCATCATCAAACATCCAGCCTGGGAATGTGGCCCAATTGGTGCTGTGTTTGCCATCTTATTCATAGTATCACTTGAAATACAACCATTCTGGAACTAACCTTGATTTATCTCTTAAACAGCAAGAATCCTGACGTTCCTAAACAAGAGCCAGCTGACCTGCCTCTACCCTGTGTCCCTGGGGACTGAATAGAGCCCTAATACCTGCAACTGTGATAGAATCCTTGGAATATATTAAATAACAAACTGATGCTAGTTTACTTATGCTGTCAACCACTAGATGACGTTAGCGACGCTCTACTGATTGCCGTGTGGTTTCCCCCATGGACCAAGCATGAGTCTTGGTTCCTATTAGAGCAAAGTTGATTTCCCGTTTTGAGAAAATCAACTTTGTTGATTTTCAACTGAACCAGTTCAACTGGTTCAGTTTAATTGGTTTAGACTTTGTTGAACCAGTTCTACTTTGTTGAACCAGTTCTACTTTGTTGAACCAGTTCTACTTTGTTGAACCAGTTCAATTTGAATCTATTTTTCCTGTACTTGTTTGCTTTTCTCTTTCTCTGTGTGGTAGCAACTCCTGATTGACCAACAGAGAGGGTGATGTATGTGGCTGTCAAGGTGGATACACAAGTGTAGTCCCGCGCCACTTGTTTGTCATTTCTCCATGAGGTAGTGTGATTCCATCCGGTCGACCAGCGAGAGTAGTAGAGTTACAGCTCATTAGATTATGGGGCTCTCTCTCTGCTGGACATTGGGCAGAGGAGAGGTTCCTCTTAATGATGTCGTTAACCTCATTGTGTCTTGCGTGTCAACCCCCTTGATTTCCAGCAGTGCAGGCCATGTGATTCATCTGCATCTGCTTTTCTACAAATACACTTATACACAGGGTGGATAGGGGCAGCAAGGCAGAGGGCAACTGTAATACAAAGCTGCTGTGGGTCAAGACGTGTGTTTTTCGCAGCCTCAGGGACTGCCCAAAGGAAATCCCCTGTATAATAATAATAATATAATCATTTTATTTAGGTAAGGTACATACATAAAGAGATTTTACAAAGTTTGTTGGCTTTATAGATAGAGCTAGTACATACAATGCCTAAAGCCACTATTACGCAAAGCGTTTCGGGCAGAGCGCGTATGGGGAGCGCGAACAGCTTGAGGCGAGCACAGTCACTAGAGATTATCGTTGCCTCCAGCAAAGCTGTGGTTTCTTTGTCTACGATGGGGCTATACCAGCTGGACTGTTCGTTGGCTCTCAGTTGGGTTGGTCTGAGTGCTGGGTCTGCCAGGATACCCAATTTTTTGCTGCATTCCATGTAGCAGGGGTCATATATATAGGTGAAAGAGGGCCGTGACGATCTCTGTCAGGAACCCGTAGGTGCGGGACCGGGCCGTCCACCTCCTGGGGCTCGTGCGGCCCCCAGGCTCTGCTTCAGGAGGCTGGTGTCGTTCTTGCCCTTGATGGGGTGGTTCTTCTCCGGCCCCGACCACGGCGGTCTCCGGATTTGGAGTCCCTGTGCCTTCTCTCACCAACTTCGAGGTCAATTCCGGAGCATCACAGTTCCTGCGACGGCGCTGGAACCAATCGTATTGGCGTTTGGCTTTACATTTTAAACTTTCGGCGCCTTGGAGAGGGGGGTGGAGACCTGCTGCATGGGTAACAGCTTCTCCGTATCAACCTACCCTGGCTTTGCGCCCTGGTGAGGCCACTCCAGACCGACAACCAGAGCGCAACTCCATAGTCTCCTGAAACTGTTGTTGTTATAGATTCAGCTACTCGGAACAAGTTCCAAGTAGCACGGGCTATGGTGAGCCCGTGGTGGACTTACCTGGCACAGGAGCGGTGCTGGCTCCTGAGACTGATGGATGCCTGCTATATACATCATATACTGCATATATTAGAGGATATATATATATATATATATATATATATATATATATATATATATATATATATATATATATATATATATATATATATATATATATATATATATATATATATATATATATATATATATATATATATATATATATATATATATATATATATAATCATATATCAGTCCACAGCACTAATTATAATTTTTCTAGGCTGAGGCTCTAGTTAATAAGTGGCATAAACCTGCAGTGACACCCAATGGGGTTAGGATACGTGCACCTAAATAATATCGCTGTAAATGAAATACAAAACAGCATTACTACATCAGGAAAAACAAACATTGTTTACATTTTGGTTCCTTGGTGAGGCAGGTGGGCCATAAACATTACCTGGTCAACGCTCTCACTCACCACTATCACCCTCCAGCGAAATTATTACAGGAAATGCCAGCAAATGTGGCAACTATCCGGAAACCAGAGACAAAATTAATATCCGAAAGATATCCTAGCGACGTATTTCTCTCATATCTTATACCTATTGCTGTGTTGGAGAATTTCATTTCCGTCTTATGGAAAATATTCGTGGATATAGTTTCGTTGATGAATTAAAAAAGTATTCCCCTAGTATTGGAAATAGAGAGATTGCTGTTTGTAGAATCTCGTTGCATCCAGCCAATGGCGATGCTTGATATTAATGACGTCACGGGGTGTCTAGGCTCACAACATATTCATCCAATCGTGTTACCGTGCTTTCGTGACGTCATGAAGCAACCTATGCTCACAGCATACTCGACCAATGGCGTGCACGGGATCACGTGACGTTTTAAAACGTCATCTGTATGAGTCATCGGGTTGAAAACTTCATCTCTGACGCTCCTGTCAGAGGCGGCAAATCCGAATACTGGAGCAAACCTCCTATTGGTCTACAGGTGTAGTATATATACGAACGGCATCAAGCTCTTCTATATCGTTCATGTTATTGCTTAAAATGTGGTATCTTAGCTTAACAAATAAATTAAGGAAATGATAAATCTATTACTTAGTATACCGCACACAAATTTTGATTATTCTACACCTGCATCTCCTCAGCGAGTAATAGGAAAACAACCTCGTACAGGTGTTGACGGTCTGGGAGATGCCTGCCTTATGACGTCACTGTACAACTCTCTATCGTTCACTTCCCAAATTCTTTCGCTTGCAAAAGATTTTTTTTGGTTTTGAAGGCAATAATTGTTGCTATACTGACTGAACATTCTGGGTAATCTTAGACGACAGATCACGGTTGCCAAAACTGCGATTCAACAATATTTTAAAACTTAAGAGACAATATAGCTTTACCTTAACTCTGTTAGCATTAAAGTAACATTAAAAACTACTTTTATTATACAGGGACAGTAACTATGCGGAAAAAGTTAAGATAGAAATATAGAAATAAATATAAATACTTTGTAAATTTTGGCAAACGATATGTATGAAGGAGCAGGCGTACCTGCAGGCAGGAGCCTGCTACCTGTTCAGTTTTGTCCCCCACGTGTGCGCGGGAGAGCTCCCATCACACACCTGTCATCCTCCTCAAATATCCGCAACAGCAACACGAGAAAGTGAAGTGTATATATGTGTGTGTGTGTGAGAGAAGACCGCGGCTCTCCACTAGCATCAAGATGTGACCCTCCACAGTAACTGAGGCGCTACGGCTTGTGTTCAGTTCGTAGGTGAGACTTCTACGGCGTGAGTAGGAGTCCGTCACGGCTTGTGTTGAGTTCATTTGATGCGATCAAATTAATGCCAACCTAGACCAAGGTGAGGTCCGGCTGTGTTAGCTTTGGTTCTAAAGCTAACAAGAGCTAAGAAGGACCACGTACACGGACAGTTCCCCCCCCCAGGACCACGTACATGGATAGTTTCCCAGGGACCACGTACATGGATAGTTTCCCAGGACCACGTACATGGATAGTTTCCCAGGACCACGTACATGGATAGTTTCCCAGGACCACGTACATGGATAGTTTCCCAGGACCACGTACATGGATAGTTTCCCAGGACCACGTACACGGACAGATAACAGGATCACGAACTAAGAACAACCCGGACGATGACCACACAACTAAAGAAGCCAACAAAAACAGACCTTTCCGCCATGTCAAGTGTTAGCAAGTAAGTTAGGACACTTTGTTTACTTTTGTTTGCTTTGTTTAGCGGCATAGCGAAAACCCAACTGAAAATTTCAGGAAGAGTTTCACTATAAACGAGAAAAAACTTTCACTACAAATTTTGTCAGGAACTTCACTGAAAACTTCAGTGAAAAACCTATTGAAAACTTAACTGAAATTTTTACTGGAAACTTTAGCGAAAATTTCACCAGAAGCGCTGAGGAAATTTTTGTTCAGGATAGCAAGTGGACGAAGAGGAAGGGTAGGGTATGTATGGGGAAAGAGTAGGGTATGTATGGGGAAGTGGAAGGAGAGGGCATGTATGGAGAAGAGGAGGGACATACACCTGCGTCATTGACTACACATGCTCACTAGTCAAAATTGCGTCGGTCATAAAAATCAAATCATAAACAGGGGTGGTTGACGGGCATCTTAGCACCTGCCCCCACCTCAAGGTACTCCCGGAGGACGACCAGCGAACGTGGGCACAGGTAGAGGATGGAAACACACATGAACCAAACACATGTATGGTTCATGGAACCATACATGTGTTTCTACTCGTATTGAACTGCTCATAGGCAGCTGTTTCTACTATGTATGGAACTGCTCGTAGGCAGCTGTTTCTACTATGTATGGAACTACTCGTAGGCAGTGAGAGTGGTAAACAAATGGAATGAAGCTGAACCTGAGGTTACCTTGATGTTACCTTGAGGTGCTTCCGGGGCTTAGCGTCCCTGCGGCCCGGTCGTCGACCAGGCCTCCTCGTTGCCGGACTGGTCAACCAGGCTGTTGGACGCGGCTGCTCGCAGCCTAACGTATGAATCAAAGCCTGGTTAGTCAGGTATCCTTTGGAGGTACTTATCAAATTCTCTTGAACACTGTGAGGGGTCGGCCAGTTATGTCTCTTATGTGTAGTGGAAGCGTGTTGAACAGTCTCGGGCCTCTGATGTTGATAGAGTTCTCTCTCAGAGTACCTGTTGCACCTCTGTTTTTCAACGGGGGTATTCTGCACATCCTGCCATGCCTTCTGGTCTCATGTGGTGTTATTTCTGTGTACAGGTTTGGGACCAGCCCCTCTACTATTTTCCACGTGTAAATTATTATGTATCTCTCCCGCCTGCGCTCAAGAGAATACAGATTTAGGCTCTTTAGTCAGTCCCAATAGTTTAGATGCTTTACCGAGTGAATTCTAGCAGTAAAGGATCTCTGCACGCTCTCCAGGTCAGCAATTTCTCCAGCAATTCTCTCCAACTTAACTGATTGTCCAGGGGAGGGGCAGGGAGGGATATTAAAAGTGTTGGAGGGAGGAAAGATCCTGTTAGTAAGCAGGAGACATTTGTAAACAAGCATATTACTTGAGACAAACAACACAATGGATGAAATACCACTGATAAACAGTTTATCTAATCTTTCAAGTTTACAGTGTTTTCTCTTGTTTTTGTCTTCGCCCTTTATCTCCTCCTCCTTCTCCTCCTCCTCCTCCTCTCTATCTTCCACCACTAATGGTCTTCCGAGGCAGGACACCCAAGGTAGTGTTCTCTCTGGTCCATTGGTTCAGGTAGCTGCCGTGTCCACTACACCCACATCCCCAGCCAGGGCTCCGTGTCCCCCACCACCACCACCACCAACACCACCAACTTGTTAAGATTCAGCTTCTAGGAACAAAAAGTTGCAAGTAGCACGGGCTATGGTGAGCCCGTAGTGGACTTACCTGGCACAGGAGCGGGACTGTAACTCCCAACACGGAGGGGAGAGGGGGGGGGGGACCAGCAGGTGGTTAAGACAGCAGGGGGGGGGCGGGAAGGTAAGGAGTCTGGCAGTAAAGCACGAGGAGTTACTACAGGCGCCAGTCACAAGGTTGTGTTGACATGATTGCCTTCTGGGAAATATCGCGCCCACAGATTTGTTCTTAAATTTCAACATCAAATGCACAGGTATACACGAGTCACGTACTCACCTAGTTGTGCTTGCGGGGGTTGAGCTCTGGCTCTTTGGTCCCGCCTCTCAAACGTCAATCAACTGGTGTACAGGTTCCTGAGCCTATTGGGCTCTATCATATCTACACTTGAAACTGTGTATGGAGTCAGCCTCCACCACATCACCTAATGCATTCCATTTGTGTGTGTGTGTGTGTGTGTGTGTGTGTGTGTGTGTGTGTGTGTGTGTGTGTGTGTGTGTGTGTGTGTGTGTGTGTTTTAAGAGTATACATGTATTGATGTTGTTTTACAAGACAAGTTCCTTGGACGAAGAAGATGCTCTTGACAGATTAATCTGCAACCATTTGCTTGAAAGTAAAATAATTAAATTTATTATCATCCGTGATTTGAGTTTACTGTGGGTAGTGAGATGAGTGATACCTGACACCTGTATGGTTCCTCCCTGACGCGAGTGACACCTACATAATGACACAGGATTATCAACAGTAATCAGGCAGGAAAATGCTGCCCGTTAGCACACACAGACAGACCCACAACAGTACCTACCGTTAACAGACCCTTGTTACCGTTTCCATGCAAGAGGCAACAGTGTGTACCCAAGCTCTTCCCTTCCCTACATGTGCCTATCTCTCTCTCTCTCTCTCTCTCTGTGGTCATAGCCGTTCGCTCTATCAGTTGTTTAATACCTGTCGTGTTTCTCATAGTATTTACGTATTAATCTTTTATTCGTGTTTCCATGTTCTACTCTTCCACGCTTACGCTGCATAGTCGAGGGTGGGTCTCGCGTAGGTTATATATGCAAGGGTTCTTAAGGCTTCCTTGGCCAAGTTCTTGAAGTTATTCGGATGTTTCTCGAGGTCCTCTTGCATAGCCAAACTGTCTTCCTCTCCTCTGACTGTTTTGATTAGTTTTTGTGATATATGGAACAGCTGTGTGGGTGACACGTATAGAATATCTTTGGGTGACACATATGGACTATTTGATGAGGGGGGGGGGGGGGCCAAGCTCACACATGGAACACTGAGACACATATGGAACATTGGTAGGGTGACACATACGGGTAGACTAAACATCTATAGTTTCTAAGCAGTCCCCGTGGCGCAGTGGTAACACAGTCGCCTGGCGTTTCGCAAGCGCTTTGGCCTGGGTTCGTATCCTGGCCGGGAAAGAATAACTGGGTGCCAATCCTTAACTGTAGCCTCTGTTCGCCCAACAGTAAAATGGATACCTTGGCTGTACCACCGCCCGCGGGATGGGTATGGGGTGCATAACAAAGAAAGAAACTAAATTAGTTGTCAAACGATTTGGCGGGTCGTATTCCAGGGACCATAGGATTAAGGACTTGCCCGAATCGCTACGCGTGCTAGTGGCTGTACAAGAATGTAAGAACACGAGTATATATATAAATAAACAACAAAATCCTGTAACATATGGGTATACGGAACATTTGCGTGTTGACACATACAGGTGTACGGAACACCTGTGTCTTCCTCACACCTGTGCTGGCCGCTACTGGGGTGGGGGTGCGAGGGGTTCAGTTCCCAAACAAATGCCATTTCTGGTCCTCTGGTCAGGCGGTGGGGTGAGGTGGGGGTTGATAGACAAGATAAGATATCACTTAGTATCCTCTCTTCCTCCACCGCCCCCCCCCTTCCCCCCAAAGTTACACATACGCTGGTACATATCTCAGGATTGCTGGTCTTATCTTGCACGTTTCAGGCAAACTTAATAGCCGAGCCTTGCGATGGCCATTTCAGTGTCGCAAACAGCGGGAACATGTCGCAACCGCGTTGGCGCGAAGGGTGAAAACCTGGCAACATTGAGTTACAAAGCCTCCCAAGATTACTAACTAAACAACGCAAGCAAATTAACCTCGGGGGAGAGAAGGCAGGGAGAGAGGGAAACAATGGTATTTATTCTCTATTTCTCTCTCTCTCTCTGTCTCTCTCTTTCCTCTATGTCTCTCTCTCTCTCTCTCTCTCTCTCTCTCTCTCTCTCTCTCTCTCTCTCTCTCTCTCTCTCTCTCTCTCTCTCTCTCTCTCTCTCTCTCTCTCTCTCTCTCTCTCTCTCTCTCTCTCTCTCTCTCTCTCTCTCTCTCTCTCTCTCTCTCTCACTCTCTCTCTCTCTCTGGGGGGGTTGCCGTGCGGCGCCGTGGCAACCTCTGGCAGCGGGAGCGGCAGCCATGCGGCACAAGTGGCAACCTCCTCCCACTCGCCCTCTGGTGGCCAGTGCACCAGTTACTCTGCCAGTGGGCGCACCGTGATGTGGATTTGTCCGTGATGGCTGTTTATTAAGTTCCCTCTTGTCTCTTTCCCTCTTTATTACTCTGGGGACCTGTGTTGGAAATTTGCCATCTTGTGTGATCTAAGGATTGTGACTGTGGATATACAGAGTGGTATAACACCAGCCCTCCACGATGGATGTAAAGGAGATACCTTAACCGAAACAGGTGAGTACCGAATAAATGAGCTTATGTTTTCAGGTTAAAATTTCCTACTCCCTGATACTGTACGGAGGGGGTATGAGGCCGGTAACTGATACTTGTGGAATGATAAGGTGAGAGAGGGGGAAAATTTCATGCTGGGAGTGGTCATATGGCGGAGATCAGAGGGTAAATGCGAGCCTCCGTGTAACCGCGAGATCCGCCAGGCGGAACGATGCGGAGTTTTGCAACCTCAGGTGTAGCAGCGCTCCTGTGGTGGCCGCCAGTGACGCAGTCTACACCCCTACAGCTGGCCGATGGGGTGTGTGTATGTGTATGTATGGGGGGGGGGGACAGGGCGGCCATACACACCCGGGATATACGGGATAGTGGTGGTGTGGGGACAGGGGGGGGGTCTCTGGTACCCTTCAGGAGAGAGGGACATATCGATCTCCTCTGAAACACCTGACGCTGTTTTCCAGTGGGGTTCGTACCGTTTCTTTTTTTTTAAGCGCGGCTGCCCATCACCTTAATGGCTCTGTCAACACTCTTCCGTGTCCCAAAATTCGGGCGATTGTAGTAGATTGTTGGAGATTAAGTTTATAAGGGTGAGTAGCTCGTACCAGGACGTGCGAGGAACTCCTG